TTCAAATTCTGTGCCTGAAGAACCAGGTTGATCTGCCTTTAAATGTTCATAAATCTCCCTGGCTCTTTCACAAATGAATTCAGTAGAAACTGAATCACCTTTCATCTGTTTTTCCCTAATCCAGATGATAAGTAACCTCTCAGTTTCTGCAATTAGGGATCTACTTTTAAACACACTTGTAGATTTCTCTCTCACTTTCACTTCTTTAAATTTGTCTTTCTGTGCAAGAATTGTCGACACAGTTGATGCCGACATGCCATATTCTTTGCTAAGCACATTTGATTTAATGCCTTGTTCATGTTTTTTTATGATTTCCTGCTTGGTTTGGATTGAAATAGCTTTTTTTGATCTCTTAGGCCCCATGCTGGATTCAAACAATGTCAACACATGTTTTTCAAAGTTAAACTTGTTGTAAATAAAGAATATTTTCTTTAAAATAACACTGCACTGCGCTACATATTGTCAATATGTAAAATAAATTTCAAAATGACCAATAATTTGCTTGGAAACACAGAAAAAAAGCATTTAGTTGAAGAGAGTCTCAAGCAAGATGTTACCTCCAGTGAAAACAGAGAGACTAACGCCTGTTTGCTGTGTTAAGAGGCTGGATGCCGCGCATTAAATTAGTCACTTTACCTTCAATTATGTTCAATAATTGTTAAAATAACTAAAAAATTGAATATTAAACTTTTAAAATTATTGAATAGTATAAACTTCTTGATATTTACTAAAATAGTAAGGAATTTAAGCCCTAGAACCGATTAATGTATTGGCGGACAAATAGTAAAGCTGGTTGACCGGCCAGTGCAAGCGAAAACATGTTGAGGTCAGTTCGTAAGAAATTCGTTAACCGAGGCGTTCGTTAACCGAGGGACCACTGAAATTAATGATTCGCGATAGGATGATTCAACTTACACTTCAATATTGGAGGACACCTTACCGTCCTTACTTGAAGCTTTACTGTATCTTCGTTTGCCAGAATCCCCCAAACCCGGAACTCTCCAATAGCTGGAATTGAAATTTTCTCGGAAAATCGCTCCCAAAGCCGGAATTTACCTGAAAATTCCAGCCTTAGGAACAATTTTCCCGGTATCCGAAAAATGATGGGCATTTTTATTTCAGGTTTGAGAAATGAAAATTAGGGTAATTTTCTGGAAATGCCGTGAAAATTTTCTGATACCTGGAAAATTCCGGGGATGGGGGGGGAGGGGACATTTTTCCGGTTCGGAGATAATGTACAGTTGTACCCTGCTTAACGAGGTCAATTGAACCCACAGGGTACCGCGTTAAGTGAATAACAGAACATATGGGATTAATTCCAATAAAGACTGGCCCGACCCCCCAAACTCCACTTTTTGACGACACACAATTATGTTCTAGTAAAAATTACATCTTAATTTTATGATGGTACATGCACACAATTAATACTTAAGAGAAATACAGTCGCCAAGTTAATGTCCATTCAAATAATGGACTCAACTCCCTCCCCTTCTTCTCACACTACACTCGCTGGCTCTTCCCTCTCTGAGAAATTTTTTTGGGAAAACCACTAGATTTTAATAAATAATACCTTAAACTAAAGTTAGGATAATATAATTGACATTGCTGGATTCCTTGTAAGACCAGGAATATTTTGAATATAAATGTCATATATTTTGCACAAAAGATAACATATTTACTCAAGAGTAAACATTATATCTAAAATTTGTATGTAATACAAAATCTATGATGTTTATATTCAAAATGATCATCAAATTGTAAAAATTCCAGCAATGTAAATTACATTCTGGCCAGGTAATTTGTATGAATTTTATGAGCTAAAACAAATATCTTCAGTTAATAAAAAAAAAAATATTCTTCACGACACTATCTGTCAATCAAAGTACCCCACCTTGCCTCCCCCCCTCTTCCAACAAGGGCCAGATGGTCGGTCAGTCCCAACCCTCCCCCCCACCAACCCTCCCTACCAGAGAAGCTTTGGGAGAAAATAGTAAATTAAATTTTTAGTAATAAATAATAACTCAGATTAAAGTTAGGATAATATAATTGACATTGCTGGATTCCTTGTAAGACCAGGAATATTTTGAATATAAATGTCATATATTTTGCACAAAAGATAACATATTTACTCAGAGTAAACATTATATCTAAAATTTGTATGTCTAATGCAAAATCTATGATGTTTATATTCAAAATGATCATCATATTGTAAGAATTCCAGCAATGTAAATTATATTCTGGCCGGGTAATTTGTATGAATTTTATGAGCTAAATGAAAAAAAAAAAATTATACTTCACTGCGTATATGAGTAGATGAACCCCGTTAAGTGAAAGTTGGTTCTGGCGAGGCACCGCGTATATGAGAAATCGCGTTAAGTGAAACCGGTTAAGCGGGGTACAACTGTAATGTGCAATTTCTGGAACTCCAAGAATATTTTTGTTACCCGGAAATTCCAGAAATTATATATTTTTTCTGGCTTTGAGAGATGAAGTAATGCATCATTCTGGAACTTCCAAGAACATTTTTGTCACCCGGAAAATTCCGGGGAAGAGGAATTTTTTTTCCGGTTTTGAGAGAATTGTTTCGTTACCCGGAAATCTCTCATTCCCAGAAGTGTTCCAGCTAACGGAGATATCACAATGTAGTTTCACTATGCACAGGAGATTGGAGCCAGGTGTTATCCGTTTTTATGTTTTTGACCTTATGATAATCATGCCTAATTTTTCTTGGCATTCTGTATGAAGATTGAGCACACACAAAAAAAGAACATACTGTACATACATACATCTACCCGAAAATAAGAGTTGAAAAATAACAATAACCTACTCCCACCATGTGGGTCACTTCACCACTGCTTACCACCACCCACACACATATCCTCCCTTCCCATCCGCGCACTGCGTCTCAAACTACAATCGTCACTACTATTAATAAAATCGACTGTCATTAATGATATAATTTAGTCAGGATCATTATGATGTCAAATTTATCTCTAACACAATTAGAACAGCAGGTGATAGGGGAGGTGACTACACGGCCTGTTTGCCCCCCCACCTCATTCATTCTTCTATGACTGTCATTCATATACAAAATTGTGCAGTACAGCATTTATTTGTTATTCATTAATTAGTAAATATACATTACTGTAATAAACTGTAGTTATTAATACCTGTACCCTTCACATAAATCATCAGGAATGCATCTCCTTATATGCAATGGTATAATGACAGTTCATTAAAAAATACTTCATTTTTATAAAATATATTACCATATTATTAGAATATTTACTGCATCGTGTTGTCTTTAATGGGGATACTGTACTGTACAGTGGTCAAATCTCAAGAGTTGATATAGGCCTAACGAGAGCTAATTGGTACCAGATGACACTTGATCAATTATCATGCTGGAGGTGGGGGGACTGGCCATTGCCATGATCCCAAGTTTATTTATTCATTATTAAAGTGTAGTGTTGTATGATCAGCTTATTATGGTGTCATGTTTATCATAAATAACAATAAATATGCCAGGTGTGTCTGTGCTTGCGTCATGTCAATGTATGAAATAAGTAATTTCTATCAACCGTATATTTTCAACCTTCTGAACTTTTTTCATTTAACCGTTTATTATTTAACTCATACCACTGGCACCCACCACCTTCCCCTCCCAAGACAGCACACTAACTACTGTGGATATGATGTTTATGCTTATGTTTTTGACCATATGATAATTTTTTTGGCACATTATGTATGAACAATTGTGCATAAGTAATACTCAAAAGTAAAAGCTGAAAATAATAACACAACTCTCGACAAAATATGAAAGCTACGGCTAGCGAACAACCAGGGAATGCTTTGCAAATATCGAATAGGGATTTTTGAATATCAATTGTGGATAAGCAGGGTTGCAAAGAGCGAGGTATTCCTGCATTTCACAAAATTGTGTTCCACATAAAATAAAAGCAAAAATAGTCTGGTAGTTTCCAGACACCACTTTCTGACCGAGTTTCTGAAAATTGACATCAATCATCTGGGTGATCGTATCAAACCTTTTCGAATGTTCACATCAACTAATCATGTATACTGTGATGTAAGATGGACTACATGTATAAATGCAACAATTTGGCTCTCCTTGAAAACTAGTTATTATTTTATTTGAAAACCCTTCTTTCATACAACCAGAATTCTCTTGAAAAACCAGAAAGTATCTGGGAATAATTTACTGTTGCCAATGTCATTTAGTTGTACCTGGTGGACACCCTAGTGTTATTACTTCTCGGTTATCATCACTGTCTTCCAGAAGAGTATCCAATAAGAAAATTTGGCAAGTTTTGTAAATCATCAAGGGCTAAGTTCTAAGTGTTCCAGAGCATTGAAGTTCAACCTCAACATTTATTCAATTGTTTGCTTAACTGCAGGTTTGCTTATGTGCATACACATATCAATACAATACCCTATACCCTGTATGAACTTGAATAAAGGTGAGCATTTGAATATGTTTGTGAACTGTGATATGACAAATTTTCCTGTTTCTCATCATAAGTCGACCTAATTTCTAAACATTAGCTCACTTATTGCTTTAATATCATAATTTCACTTGTGAAATGACAGGAAAAACATAACATGCAAAATTGAGTGCTGTAATATTTTTAGATGATGGTAAACTCATATTGAGGCAGGTCTATGAAGGAGACAGCTGTGATGCCAAGATCTTGCTAAATACACAAGCTAAGTGAAACCTCGATAACTCAATGGGTAAAAAATGAAAAGCTATAGCCTTAATGTGCTAGCACCAATAATTTACCCCATACTAAGGCATTTTAATAAGTCTCTTAACTCCCTTCACTTTGTCAAGGAGTCAGAAATCTCTTGAAACTAAAAAATTAAACAGAGTAAACCTTCAGGCAAAAGCACAGAACCTGAGGAAGAATTGACGAGGTTTCACTGTGCTGCCATATCTTGGCTTGACTTTCCACCCTAAGGAGTAATAAAACACATATAGGTAAAGCTTTGTGGTTGTATTTTTTGTAACCAGCTCATTTTAAAGTGCAATTTTACATGTGACAGTTATTTATGAGTAAATTACTACCACGGAACCAGAACTAAAAATATAGCCATGACCCTAGAGTGAAACCTTGTTAACTCAAGCTCAGTTCCATACAAACTGATATAAAACAGAAAAAGAAAGGAAGATTTACAAAAGAAAAGGTACAGTAGTTTACTACGCTTTGATCAACTATTATGAAGTCCAGTTCATACAAGAGGCAGCTGTACAAGTTTGAACTTAGACTTTGTAGCTACGGGTGATATTTCCTCTCACCACCGTCCCTGGGCTAAAACAGGTAGACGTCAAAGTCCATCAAGTCGCTCAGACTGAAATCAAGATCTGGAATGTCCACACTACTATCAAACGTACTTCCTGTAAATGACTGTTTCCTGGGACGTCCACGTTGCCTTTTGGCTGGAGGTGGACCTGTATGGTCATCAGCATACACTGCCTCCGCGTGCGAGACCAAGGTAGGGGTGGTACACCCTACCGAGGTCAGCCGAAGGTTTGCATCTACCTCCATACTGCCTACGCTATCTAGATCACCCAGGGCTTCCTCTAGGGCCTCCTCTAGGTCCAAGATGGGCTCTAAGCGTTCGTCCTCCTCGAAGTCAACCGGACAGCCGCTAGACAAGCTGAAAGACGATGATGCTTAAAATGGTTTCTTGATATTTAAGACATGGACAAACTTCATTTCTGAGTCAGTAAAATAAGAGAGAGTAGTAATTAGTTTGGAAATGGAAAATCAGCTCAATACATTATCTCTATTCTATACTGAATACTATAATGAAACCTTTGTACTTTTTTTTCATAAAATATATGTCAGTATTTAACAATGAATACATTCAACTTACTCTCCACAATATAAGATGGTTGACAAGACGACATTGTTATAAACTAGTCAAAAAACTAAAAAAAAATTTCCTGGGCTGGATAACATTTACTAATATTACAAACTCTGTTGCACTTTACCAAAATGCATTTTACTGACTAATTGAAAAGCAACTCACAGCAGCAAAGAACCCTAATTTTAAATTAACACTTAAAATTAAAAGCCACTTTAGTTGCGAGGACAAGAACAGCATTAAAAAAGGATTAATATATCAGACCCTACCTCTTAATGAGTTCTGTTAACCTGATCATGAGTCATCTGGTCTGGTGAGCAAGAAAAATCTAACAAGCAGGTGTAAGTCTAGTACATAAACCTCAGAAAAAGCTGTTCTCTTACGGTATAGCTTGTGAAATAAATCCAATTTCCATTGAGGAGGATGAAGCGCAGCTGACTAGTACTAAGTTATTTACATCAGTGATAAACCACTTTAAAAATTAAGCACTATTACTGCCAAAGTTTCATCCCAACCTTGCAAAATGGAAATCAGATTCCATTATCACATGCTAATTAAACTGTTGGCTCTATGTCAAACCAATATCAGCTGGACAAAAAGCTTGATCATTGGTGTTGGCTTTGGCCAATTTCTGCCTGCTCTGATACTGCTCAACTAAGAACTAGTTCATACACTGATCTTAAAATAATACTTTACAATCATTAACTTAATGTACCACTATAAGATGACCATTTTCTGGACACCTACCCATGCATTAATACCTGAAAATAAATGACTGGTCATTTTCTATCCAAAAGCGGTATGCAAGAAGTTTCATACCTATTTAGAAGAACTTCGGCAATAACATTCGAAATTATTTAACAATCAAGGTAATTACATCTATGTATGAAAATTCTAAAACGTTTCACTAAACTCAGAAAAGTTAAAATAAAGTCACCAAAGAAAAGTGAACGTACATCTACATGAATGTGGTTTAGGAACGTGCAATGGGTATTGGGTTGATGTCGAGTTAGATGTCAAAGGTTCAAACTAGTGATGGATCAGTCGACAATGAGATGAAGCGACCCACAAGTTCGCTAGCCCCGTTGTCGCCACTCCGACAACCGGCTACAGCCAAGATTTCTGAAATTGGGAATTTTGGCATAGGTATGGTTGCATGAGCAGGAAGAGAACTGCCATGAAACTGCTGTGCTCCGACACGGTCACAAGTGAGGGGAACAGAAATATAAGCTCCATCAGTTGAGTCCATGTGTTATAATTTTTCTTTGAAGCAAAGTTAGACTTCATTTTAATAATTTGGGCTCATATTAGCTGGTCATCTCACAAGGGGGTTTTAATGCCCTTATTAAAATGCCTCTCCATGATCACTTGGGAACGATCATCTATTACTATGTGCTTGATGCTTGCAGACTGGGAGAGACTACTGTACCTTAAAAGTAACATTACAGTACTCTCACTACACTATCGTTAAATCTATTGCAATGCAAATCAGAGCAGTGGTAAGCATACCTTAATATTAATACACATGAAGCATTGCAAACTCTCTCCTCTTGTTGGATATTAACTATTTGCTATGATTCAAGTGTAATTAAACTTAAGACATTAATGAGATATTCTGGCTTGCTTTCTCTAACATTCAATGTTATGAAAATTGCATAAAAAATAAATAAATAAACAAACAATATGCAGTTCTTCAAGTTAGAGTCAGAGCAAGCCTTCATAAGTGTTATGCCATACACAGGTGATGGCCTACCTCGGAGAGATGGGTGAGGGTGGCAGGTACGAGTACTGATCGACGGAGTTATTGAGTGAACCCAGCTGATCAAAGTTGGTGGAGAGATCGGGAGAGCTCAGATGGTCAGGTGTATCTAAGTGATCAGGGGAATCCAACTGAATCACCTCTGCTTGCTTCTGCCGCAACTGCTGCTGCTGCTGTTGCTGCTGCTGCAAGTGTTGTTGCAGCTGCAGCTTCAGTTGCTGCTGCTGTTGTTGATACTGTTGTTGGTGGAGGTGCAGGTGATGGAACGGAGACTGTCCCAACTGAACATGAGACTCTGTGTGGTCCAGACGACTCTTTGTCTTGTTGTTAGTACTACTGGTCACACGTTTGTTCACAATGTAACGGACGGGCTTTCGCACAGTTGTGCGATTTTGAGTCTTTTTGTACAAGCGCCTAGGCTCTTCATGTAATTTCTGGAAAAAAGAAACTTAATACTGATCTAATTCATTTAAATTAATATGGAAATGACCGCTTGTTTTTTCTTCTTCAGTTTTTACAATATTACATACACATTCACACAAAAACATATACATCTTACTTTGCCTGGTTCATGATTGTGTTCATGACAAATCTCCTTTACAACAAGAGCTTGGCCATCATTAGATGTCGACAAACGGACCTTGAATGGGCAACCTCCTGCTGATGTTCTAAAAATGCAAAATAATTTTATTGGTTTAAAAAGGTATCAAAAACTGAAGGTAATAAATCATTTTATCAATAACCAATTGAATTATATGAAAAGCCTGCTGGATCAAACACTGTAGTCCCAGTCAATGGTAGCTAGGGAGTTTTGTAGTAATTCTCTTTCCCCTTTGCAACTGCTGCCATTTTAAATACTGGATAGGAAGGTTATCCTCTAGCGACATGCTCTCTGAAAGTAAGTCTATCTACCTGGCATACACACCACAGCTAACTGGGCTGCCATGTTCACTTTCCCACTAGTTACCCATTTACCATTGATTAGTGTGGACGGTACCTGAGCTCCCTGGCTATGGACTTGATCAAAAGAAAAAGGGATGACAAGGACAATATTTCTATTTATGATCTGTTGCATTCTGTCGGACAGGACTCATATTTGCAGCCAGCTATAAAAGTGGTACGTGGTGGTGGCAGCAATACAAAAGCTTCAAGGGCCAGGCAGGCATCCATACCAAAAGAGGCATTGTCCCATTTAATAAAGGGGAGATTGACAAAAAATTTATTGGCCGTGTAACTCCTCTTCATTACACATTTCTTCAATGTGATCAATCAATGTCCAAATCCTTTTGTAGTATTGGTGTATAACACACTTTTAACAAGTTCATGAAACCAGTTCCAAGATTATTAGCCAATGTCATCCAGGACAGATGAAAACAAAGAACACATCTATGAAGAAAAGACAAAATTCAAAAAGGAACTCCGAATCCTATAAAAACCCCAAAACCCCACAAAGCAGTGTAACACAAACTAAAACTCTGTGTAGACTAAAATATAACCGAGACATGGTCAAACATACAGTGGTTATAATACTTAAGAAAGTCACATCCACCTCTACTCTCACAAATCAATGGAGAGGAAAAAACATGTTTCAAAGAAAGCTGAAGCAGAAGAGGAAACTAAAACCTGCCTAGACAGAAAGGCAAAAGCAGAATAATAACTCCACCATATTGAGCTTCATAACTATCAAAACCAGTCAAAAGAGAAGAATGTCTGTGGTCTGCCTATGCTTACACTGCAGTATAAGTACGACATCAGCACATAGGATGTTTAAAGTGCAGATGGGAAATATGATAGGTATATTTACAATACCAGCAGTTTCATGCATATTGTACTATGAAGACTATAGCTGTTCATGGGAAGTTAAAATTATTTTTAGAATTTTTCTCCATAACTATGGTACTCACCAGGTGCTGTAGCTAATTACAATTGCCTGGTGAGAGTTGAACAAATGTAATATCAGTCAACCCCTACAGGGTATACCAGGGGTTCTCAAGCATTTTTCAGTGCGACCCCATCTAGTACTGTTGCCTATCCAGTTTGACCCCAAGTCATTACATACACTATGTTGTATATATGAAGATCCTAAGAGTAAATACGGTCATATTTAACTGTAAAAACAAGTAAGGAAAATGTATTACAACTTGAGGTCTAAAAGTGTACAATACACTGGCAGAAACAGGCTACAACTCTGCAATGTTTAATATGTGACATTATATGACCATTTAACACCCTATAAGTGGGGGATATAATTACATTGTTAAGTAACACAACATACAATTTTCTTAGCTACATCTCTGTCATACTGTACGTATTTTGTATGTGACTTGTGTGCATCATCATAAAAATAATTTTCATTATAAGTTACAGTACATTAGTCATAATTCATATGTAACGTGTGTGCATTATCATTTAATAAATTTTCTGTTAACTGAGGGTATGATAATTATTTTATAAATACCATTGATGAGAAAGCTGCCTCACAGACTTCCAAATCATATCAGAACCTTAATAGCTTGATTTTTAACAGCTGAATGTCAATTTGATAAATAACCCAAAACACTAATGTCATCATAGATGGCAAAAATCATCCTTGCCTCGTTGCCAGCCTGTAATTCAGCTACAGTATTTCGAGGACAAATGAGCAACACTGTTTTACATCTGTCTTAAACAGAAAGTGAACAAAATCAAACAATTCAGTAAGCAAAGCAAGGAATCTAGCATTGAAATTTGCTGCCATTTTTGTCAGCATCCATGGGAAGTACAGAGTGCATTGAGCTGAGAACAATTCAAAGGAGAAATGTGAATTTTCTGCAGTATAACGTGTCATCAGCGTTTGCCTTCCCTGGACTGACCTGACTAGACACAAGGAGAGTAACTGCATTATTCCCTTGACCATAATTTATGGTCCCGAATTATGGAGACAATACCTGTCGGCCACGTCCTTCAGTCCTTGACACCTGCTTTATGGGACCCATCGACCCTATGACCTCTGTGCGACCCCTACGATGCCCGGGTTTGGGAACCACTGCACTATACCAAGCACTGCCAGTTCACTAAACATCCATATAGCCCAATGACACCATTCCCTAACACAGATAATTTGTGGCCAGTTATCAGAATAACTAAAAGCTCTTACATGTAATTACTGTACAGGTGCGGTGCAGTACAGTATACCTCTTCAACACCACTGGTATGTCTAGTTTATTTTATTCTAGTACTCATTTTCATTCTTCATTTATATATTTTTGGAAGACAGCAGTTAAAATTTAAGGTACACATTCCTGTTTCCTTTTTTTTTTCAATAAGAATTGAGGACACATATATAATGCCTCTACCAAAGAAATAAATGCCAAAGACAGAACTTTAAATAATTAATGATCAGCTACTCAACATAGTAAAACAATGAAGGCCTAAAAAACATGGAGGCTACATTGTAATACATACTGATTGTGTATCTTTGTTTGGTCCGAGGGTCTCCGCCCACCGAAGACACATGAATAGGTCAGCTCGGCATATTTGAGAGCTGGGTTGAGGGACTTGCGGCGCGCCCTCTTAGCAGCAGCAACAACAGTCCTGGAATCGCGCACCCAAAGTTGTACTTGTTCTAATTCTTGAAATTCCTCCAACCGTCTGCTTAACTCATCAAATGTGTAGAACTTGCTGCCCACTTTGAGCATCGCCGCAGCCTCCACACCCCTGAGTCATAAGAGGAAATATTTAATACAAATATTGTACATATGGAAAAGAAATAATAAGATGTAATGTTTCTATTGAGTAAAGTCAGAGTAGTTAACATTATTAATAGGAGCAAAGCATAACAAATTAAAGTTCTTTTTAAGTTCATCAGTCAGATGTTCAAGTCTATTAATGACAGACTGGACATTCTCCATGATTTCTGAATACTGTGCAACACTTACAAATATAAAAATTTTCCTAAGTAATTTTGAAACATTCTATTACTGCATTTTTAAAATACTGTACCAGTCATTAGTTATGTTTATCTATTTCATTATTCTCTTGATACTCACAATGTTATTAAGCTTACAAATAAGCTTTCAATGTGTCATCAATCTCTCACAATTACCCTATAATTTCTCCTTCACTCACTGACAACAAGTAGACTCATCTCCACGAAGTAGTCACTTAACCAGTTCCCAATTGTCAGATTTATCCTCACTACATAAGAGTAAATAACATTTACTCATATAGTATGCCCAGTATGGAAAATTAAATAATAAAATTATTTAGTATTCTTAATTTCATATCATAATTATGAGCAATTAATGTGAGGAGTTATAAAAGAAAGTGTGCAATTGGGAAGTGAGTAAATATTTGGAGGTGTGAAGAATGGCAGAGTCTGCTGATGACTGATATGTTGGCTGGTGTACAGTACTATTCAAGTTTCTGTGTTCTGACAGTTTCCCTCCATTGGCTTTAAGGCACTGCTCTTTAAACATTTGAAGTCAGCCCACAGTGAAATCACAGTTCCTCCAAGACGGATGTTGGTTCATTTTTTTGCAGAATTCCTTCCCCCCCTTTTTAACAGTTAGCACTTAACATTTCTTTTAACACTGTTAAACTCAGTTATATCACATTTGTGTTTGTTTGAGGCCATGGTGAAAGCAATATAAAATCCACATTAAACATAGAGTATAGAGCACATGTGGCCTGATGCTTAAACCAACATCATCCTCGTTCAAGCATGTGACCATATCATTTGTGCCATGCAAACTGAGCAGCAAGAATTTAGGGTGACAATAACCCACCCTTTCTAAATATCTTGTGAAATACAGGTAGATAGCATAACAGTATAGGTATACAAGTATTATTATTATTTCTCTATACAGTATGCTTTTATACTTAAGTATTAGGATATATACTTAATCAAACAATAAATCATTTATGAACTCTTACATCTTGTAAATGTCTCAGGACTCATGAGAAGCTGCTGGGAAGTATGTACTACCTATGGAACTCTCAACTTCTAAAGGCTATATAATATATTTGTTTTTCATCTAAAGAATGCATACAGAATGTTTTTCTTTATTTTGATATTCAAGAAGTAAAACAAATGGTCAACTGAGTTTGTGGAAGCAAACCTTGTAGCCTACTGGTAGGCATAGCATAACAGGAAACTGGGAAAACTTCCTATTGGTTTCAAGTTTCCTCCCAATCAGTGACTTATACAATCCAACTAGTGTCAAAGTACCGTGCCAGTAATTGGGTGTACTGTATATTGCCTAACTCCAGCCCTTGGGAGTGGTGCTTTACATGTTTCTTGTGAGACCATCAGCCAACTGGCTAGTGTCTTCTAGGGGGACTTGACATTTAGATAAACAGTTACTGTCCTCAGGAAGGCCCGTCTAACATAATATCGACTTTCTACTTTCAGTACAAACTTTGTTGTGACCCTCCAACAAATGGCTATTGTTAACCCTGACCTTAAAAGCCAGAGATCCTAGGTCATTACTATTGCAAAGCATATAACTTGTAAACCCCATCATCACTGACCTACATATTGTTAATTACCACCATATTTTAACTCTTTTAATCTACAGGTATCCCTTGCTATATGAATGGGTTAGGTTTTTTAAAGTCATTCATTAAGTGAATATTCATACAGTATATCAAATAATATAACATACTCCCCAATGACAAGAAAATTTCAATGTTATAACTAGAAAAATTAAATAGATTCACAAGCAAAAAAAAAATCCTACCAGTACCTAACTACTGTAAATTAGTACTGTACTTGACTACAATAGTTTAGTAACTAACTACAAGAAAACCTGCAATGTACACACACAAAAAATTACAATCAGCAAAAACCTACCTAATTACTGTAAATTAGCACCTAAGTACTGTAGTGTAATTTAGTAGCTGTACTGTAATTTAGTACTGTGTACATTAAGAAATTAATTAAATATAAATTTGGTACATTACCAGTACAGTAACAGGTACCTTAAGGGACCATAGCTTTTGTAGCTATAGTGAGAAAGAGGTAAAGAATTGAATATTTGTATTAGCGAATATTCACAGAGTGAACGTTCATGTAGCGAGGGATACCTGTACAGCATTAGTAAGAAAAATATTGTTTTGCTTTCCACGTGCTCAACAAACACAAGGCCCCCTTGAGGTAATAGGATAAAAATCTGCTAAAAAGAACCTACCAATATCAGACAAATTTGGCTATAAAGTATCCTAAGATTGTTAGGTTAGGTTTAGTAGGTTCATGTCATTAATAAATGGCTCAGTGTCACTGTCTGATTTAAAGGCAACCCACAGAGAACAGACCTTCTCTTTTGTACTACCTTACAGATTTGGGTAACAAGACAAAAAGTAATAAAATTTTACTAAAAAAATTATATTATATTAATTAAAATTAACAATGAATAGGCCAGTAAATAACAGTTATCACAAAACTGCATTATCAAAGATTGTCATCACTGTCAACTATACAAAAACTGAGAAATACATGTTAAAAAAACTAATGAAAAAGATATCAAATAAAACGCATACTACCTCAAACGTCACCTTATGATACTGGAAAATAGTGGGCAGCGCTCACCAACAGTTCCTGTAATTTATTTTAAAATGGTAATACAGTACCTGTACTGTCCAGTACTGTACTCTGGAACAGGGGTTCAGGTTAACCAGTAACTTTAGAAATATTTTCTTTTGACTACAACTCTTACCTTAAGAATATCCCATCACACGTAAAGGATTTGTAATTGTCGTACTTTTGTTTACCCAGTTCTTATTGTAAATATATACACTCTGCCCACCTGAGGACGCTAAGTATGTGCTTCAACTGTTGACAAATACTTCACAACATTAAGTAATTGAAATGTTCCAATGAAGTTCCATAAGTTAGCTAATGGAATCTACCTAACCTAAAATAAAATAATATACAATATGTACAATAATGTACTGTATATCCATACCAGGATAAGTAGGCTTAGTTGGTTCGTCTTATCTACAATACACGTCCATGTACTGTAAAGTGTGAGCTGCTGAAAGTATTCATTTATATGAAAGTTGCTGAGAAGCTAATGTATTCCAGTCTATGAAATGTTTTACAGTCTTGTAAACGGTCAATATGGCATCGTTAGGAGGTAGTGCATCGACAGATTGGTGTTCAGCTGAAAAAATATACTGTAATAATAAACAAAAATTAACTACTATATTGTATATTACAAAAGTTTCAAATCCTCACTTGTTTTTGGATAATTGCTAATACTCGAGGACACTGTCCCCAATAACTAGCAACTTAACTAAACTTTCCTCTGGAAGAAAACTTATTTCTTGCCTTAACCATTTAAGGAGTATTGTTAGCCGTCACACTTAGGCTAAGTATTTTATTCTGGCTAATGTCAAACAATTCGTTCAGCTAAGGGAAACCCCTATCACTCAATGGGTTAAGAATTACTATAACCACCAAGAAGAGGATTTGCAATTTTCATAATACCCTTTCTGCAAGTGCAGTATTTTCTGTAATAAACACAAAACATTGTTGCTGAAGTAGCTCCCGACAATGCCATATCGACCTGTATAATTATATGATTTGTCACAGATAAGACAAATCAACAAAACTTACTTATCATACAATGAAAGAACTGTACAGTATATTACTTTATGATAACCATGCATTTAATGGGCATAGTCACAAGAGCCATTGCTAACATTAGACGAGGCTTGAAACATTTAAAAGTATCACAAACTGCTGTATTACATAAGAAGCCATTCATAAAATGAACCGAATTACCCTGCCAAACCTAACCTAATTAATATAATAAAGTTTAGGTGAAGTTCAAATTTGGGTAGGCAGGTAAGTACAGGAAGGTCAGCTTGGTTATTAATAAATGACAAATTACTGGAGCAGGGCATATAAAGCAGCAGGGTCTGTTGCTTTGGATAGTTCCCGGTCTCGCTGAATGTCAATAATGGTACTCATGATATTTCTGCCAGCTAAATAAAAGACTGCCCATCTAAGGTTAGGTTAGATTTGGAAAGGTTGTTGGGAAGTGTTTGTAAAATCTGATGCATAGTACAGTAGTGGCGTGGCATCCATGGGTACAGAATCTGTTTACCAATAAAAAAATCCAGGAAAATTGCCATTTATATGAAAGAAAGTTGAAATTCCTTTGCCTGATTTTGGTTATTGTTAAGATAAGAAACAAGTTTTCTTCTATACTGTACTGTACTGTATATGTGTCAGTAGTACCACGTTGGAAACACTGCTTCTTGTCCGATCAGCAAAGTTAAGCAACATTGGGTCTGGTTAGTACTTGGATGGGTGGCTGCCTGGCCTTACGAACACCAGATGCTGCTGGCATTAGGACTCGACAGGAAACAGGCCTCTCATATATAAAGTTGCTAGTTACTGGGGTTTGTGTCCTCGAGTATTAACAGCTATTCCTGAGATAGCTTCGGAGTTATCTCCATAACAAATTTTTTCTAAAGTTGCTGATTAACACACACTTCTGTTGCAAAGTACAGTACAGTATTACATCTAAAACTGATGCATTAAATAGTATTTTTCTTCATCTGGCATTTATAATTTAATCAAATTTAAAAGTAATAAATATAATTTCTCTTATAAATTCACAATTATATTAGTTAGGGTAAGAAAATAAATTGTAAATGGCTGGGCAGACTGGAGACTACATAGCCAGGATTTTAAGTTATGTTGATAAAGACAAGTTAGGTTTGGTTCCTTAGGTTTATGTGAGTACCGTCGGTGCCAGGTCGTGTCCACTTTTTTACGTCTTACAACTACCAAGCTAACCTGACTACAAGAAAAAAGGTTAAAAAGTTACCCAGTACTATATTAAGGAACCTCTTAAAAGAGGTGCACAGGTTAACAAGCAACATTATGAAACTTTTTAATAGAAGAAAACTTCTTCAATTTCTCTAGAGCCTCCCCAAATTTGATAAGAGGAATTGATTTTTACCAACTTAACAAACAAAAATGAAAAACCAAAAGAACCTAGGAACAAAACCTAATTAGTGCCTCCAGTCTGCCCAGCTGGTAAAGGAACTTATGGAATTGCACCAATATTTCTAGAGATGATATTTGCATGAAAATCGATACAATAATACACAGAACCTAACCTAACCAAACTGGGACCCCACCCCCAACACACACACACACACACACACACACCATTTGAAGTTTCACTGCAGAGAAACTTTGCTCGTGACGAGGTGGACAAAGAGTGTCAAAGTCATGCCACGAGCTCATCTCTTGCGGATGCAGAAAACACTGCGGTGGCAAGTGTAGGTGCAAAAAAGCTGCACTTAAATGCACTGGACTTTGTGCATGTGAAGGTGGCTGTTAAGGCCAAATATCTACAGAGATTCGGCCTCAATAGCCGAATGTTCAGAATTTTTTTTTTTTAAGTTTTGGGAGTTCGGAAAATTTGTATGTTAATTTTCCAGTGTAATGCTTTTACTCGACTTTTTCATTGTAATAAACTTCGAAAACTATCACAAATGATTTTCGTAACCCGGATTATGTATACTGATGCATCGGAATGAAATATGCAACCGTAAAAACAGAAATACATAGTTTAGCGTATCCCGAACGGCGGCCACCTTGAAATTCAATATGGCGCCCACAGAGGTTGAGTTTCTAGTGGTTCCATATCTGAAAATATTCACCATGTATTACTCTATATCTGTGACAAAGTTTTTAATGCTTTCATCATAAAATGCGCAATTGTTTGGCTATGCCCCTGTACTACTAGACCCCTTGAAAGCAAAAAGATTTAACTTTAATACTGTAGTGACATCCCACATTACAGAAACAAATCATGGTTGAATGTCACTTTCCAGCGGCGCATTTTGGACACTTGCATGGCCTTCCAAGAAGTCCATGATCACATAATATGTCAAAGTCATAATCCTCAATAAGCACAGACGACTTGCTATAACTTATGGATTTTCTAGTAGATGACGCCACAATTTCATTCACGAGGGAATGCATCTACGACTCTCCGTGTGGAAGAACAATAATAATAGGAACATAGTCGACTTCAATTCCAATGCAATTCAAAATTAAACGTAAGGTATCCAATGCCCTATTATGGAATTCAATCTCAACCATATAAAACTGATCCTGTCTTGAACATGTTGACAAGACTGGATTCACTCCCTTATATCTTAAGAGTGGACGAGCACGATGGTCGCCACTGACACCACCATATTTGCGGTAAATCATTTATTTCTTCACCTACAAAACAGACATTTTATTACTGCCATATGATCAGCTTTTCACCATGGTGTCCCTCTTCATGCCCTGCCAACTACAGGTAAGATTTATGATCGAAGGGTGTAGGAAAACGAAATTAAAAAATAAATAAATAAAATAAAGTTAAAGGAAGGAGTTGGAGTTGTGGTATAGATATATCACTCAGCTACTAACATCTATTTCTATTAAATTCCTACCTGTGATACATTACTGTATCAGAAGCCACTTGCTGATGTTTTACATTTTAAGATGTCAGTACAGTGCTGTACACTACTCTAAAATCTTACTTGTACAATGTAAGGTTATTATTCGTTATTACTACCTACTCGTTTCAAACATAAATAGTCTTTTTTCTGCTTGTTTTCACTTGGGATATGTTTAAACTAACCTTCAACATTCATTGAGTCATTGTTTCGGGAGGAAACGACGAAAATAAAAATTAATGAAAATATAAATTACTGATCCCCCCAGCAGTCGACCAATCACCACGTGGCAAGTATGAACTGACCAATTTAAAAATGGCATGTGACAGAAGTGCTATTGACTATTATCAACTCCTCAAGGATGTTTATCGAGACAAAAAAGCTGCTGCAGAAGGATTTAAAGCTCATGGCATTCTTCCTTGTCATTAGGTCATGGGAATAGACGTCCCAACCTATCCTAATTACTGTACTGTATTTGGCAAGATACTTATTTATCAGAGTTTCCTGAGCCCCAGCATCATTTCCTGCTTACTGCCATCAATTTGTACCATCACCTCAACTCTCCAGCATAAGTTATGCCATAAGATAAATTCACAGGGGTAGCTAGGAAACATGGCTCTAGGTTTAAGATTGGTTAGGTTAGTCTAGTAAGTGTCAACAAATATTAACTAAATGTTTTCAACCCCCATGCTCTCCTAAATTGTCAACACAAAAACATATTTTCATGGTATATTTTCTTTCTTACTTTCAGTTTCTTTAAACGACCATCATATCTTCATCTATATATAAAAAAAAAAAAAAAAAATGGTCAGATTTGAAGAAAACACCCAAATAGACCAGAAAAATATTTTCATGTCAAAATTGAGTAGGCAGTAATACAAAAAAAATTACACAATGTAATTCCATGTGCAATTTATAGTAGATGACAATTATATTTATGATTTTTTTTATTTTGGGGGGGTGGGGGGTAATGGTAATTTTAGACTAAAACAAGATAAAGTCCTTATGCAACACTTTTTTCTCATATTTTACCTAACTGATTTCGTGAGTTTAAAATCAGAAAACTAGAAATTTTGGGGGGAAATTTACAATGTCACCCAAAACTACTATTCGCCCATAAATCTTTGTTTTTCAATCTAATTTGACTATCATTTCCGTCGGTAATAAGTCGTTTTGGGCTTCCCCCCCCACCCCAACAACCAAAGAACCCTACCTAACTTCCTAGCCGCCCCCGCTATATTAAACAGAAAGTACTTATTTTGATATATGGTGCCAATGAAAGCAACTTTGTTGAAGCATCAAGGTGTAATTTTACGTTTTTTGTGGACGTGAGAGTACGTTCTGATCGAACGCGTCGAGTGTAAACAAACAGACGACACGCAGTGACTGCAGATTTGTTAATTTCTTAAGTGAATTTACTTTCTTGGTTAATATCCATTTGCGACGTTTGTGGTATTAGAAAAAAGACAAGATATAAATAATGGTAAACACAAAATTGCTCTAACCGGGATGTGGCTGAAACTGGAAAGCCAATTTTTTAAGCAATGGTGAGGGTATTACATATTGTGTGGGTGGTCTAAATGGGGAGGATATGCTTTTTTTTTCAACCAACCAGAGCTTGTTATTGTGCATGGGGGCAGAGCTCCTGGGTTGGGAAAGGTTTAGGTAGGCAGTTGGTTAGGGTGGTGCTACCAACCACATATTACTAATTAAGTTATCCTAACCAACCTAACTTGCTAACTGAGGCACTCTACCCCCGTCCCCTCCACATATTAAGCACAGAAAGAACTTACTTTGATACCTGGTCCCATCCATGCACAGTAACAAACTCGGATTGGTTGACACTTAAGCACATCCCTATCTAGATCTTCGGCTCATTGCCAAATTAGTCAACAAATGAACGAAAAAAAAAGTAATATCTCAGTTCAAGGTCATTTACGAGGGATACGGCATAGAAGTGTCTAAAAATTGTTTAAACTATTGATTGCAAAGACAAAATTCCCAAGATTTAGTTGGTGGCAACAAAAAAAACAATACCCTTGCCACTGCTTACAGTATTATTTTTCTAGTTTTCTCATATTTAACTCATATCTTGGTTACAGATAAAATTCAAGAAAAGCATAGATGAATTTTGGGTAAATTTTTACTTTAGGACATGAGTCCCTAGGAACTGACCAATATGTTTTTCCAGTGTATTTTGAACGAATCTGACCTTCATTTTTGGCGGAAATTGCTAGTTTTTGCACCCCCCCTCTCTCCAGCAATTATGGGGAAGAGCCTGGGAAATTGGAGTTTTTGGGTGAAGAGAAAACAAAAAGAGTCATCTGACCTAACAAAACCTAACCTAACGCCTAGCTGGACCCCGGTAGACCAAACCTGACCCCTAGCCGGGGCACAGATCTCGGTAGGCCTAGCTTAAACTAACCGAAATGTTTCAGTAGTTAAAAACTTTGGGGCGCACCATGTCCTAAAGTACAATACGTAGTTAGAAGTGGAAGGACCAGGGATACGTAAGAATTGGATAGAATAATCATGTTCTCGTAAAACTCGGCAATAAACTTAAATTCATCGTAGAAGCACAAGCGACAACCAACCTCCACCACGGCTATTGCGAGACTGGTCAATAAAATTACCCAGGCTGCTTCCTTTGAAAAAATAAATAAAAATCAAATGTGATTGGTCGGAAAATTTTTTTGTGAAGACCGATACCTCATTGGTCACGACTGGATAACGTCAGTCAACATTGCGCATGCGTGATGCGCAGGTAACATCTCCTCACAGATGAAGACTGAAAACTACATAAAATCAAGTGTATTTTAAAAGAAAGGTCATCCAAATATTTCACGGACAAATATGTTAAAATGTAATATCTATGTATTTATGTAAATTGTAAACAAAAAATAAAATAAAATTGAATTGTGCCGCTATTATCCATTTCCGCCAGGTATATATGGGGTTCAAAATGCTCTGAATAGCGAGACTTAAATGTTTCAGGAGTTTATAATTTTCGGGCGCACTATGACTGCAAGTAAAATAATACAGTTTTTCTTGTTTTTGTCTGAAATTATCATTAACACGCCCCCCCCCCCTCCCCAAATCTAATTAGTGTATCTGTATGTCCTCTCCTATAAAATGACCACTTCTACTGGTATGTTGTCCACCAGTTTTCATTAAGTCAACATGTTAAATGATTTACCAATAAAAATAGTGACGCCCATTATTAACACTTATAATCTGATTGTTTACTGAATTTAAGAAACATGAAACCAAATCTAACACTTAACAAAATCAATTCTAAGATCACGAGGAATTGTTACATAGGTTAGGCCTGTTTGTTGTTTTCTAATACTTTTTACCAACACTTTACCAAATTTTAAGACATTTGATACTGTATAATAAATAGTTTATAAACGACTTTTCTTTTGAAGGAACAAATTCATCAATGGCAAACTTTCACCCCACAATGTCTATTGTTTTCCTAATATTTTCATATGGAATTAAGGTACTGTACATCATTAACAACTCTAAATGTAATTAAGAGTATATTTGTTGTTAAGTGCATGTGGTTCATGAGCCTCCCACCCTGCAGGGCCCCACATGCACATGGTCACAGGTGAAAGCAAATTACCTTTCCAACCATCAATGGCACACTATAAGAGTTCGGTACAAAAAATATACCTATTTGGACATGACAAACAGAAGACATTATTGAAACATTACGGTTACATTGTATTTCCTATGGATTCACTTTGATAAACTTCTCCCCACGCCTCTTAAGAGAAATCTACCACAATTCATCGTTCAAGTTCAAGGTCATAACTTGGGACCAATTGTATTTTCTCATGTTTCTACCATTACCAAAGTTATCATAATTCATTACCCATTAGTGAGTAAACTACCATACCTATTTTTCACCTCTAGGAAGGTCATATATAATCATCAGTTCAAACTCAACAATATATTCTGTAAGTAAACCGATTCCCAGCCAAGGAAACAAACAAGACTCCCCCCACCGTTCGTTCACTAAGGAAGCCATGCCCCTTATTCAAACACAATTCCCACAAAAAGTACATATTACATCTAACCATAAAATACCACAAACCACACAATAGACCTTAACGATCATACCTTGCTTAATAGTTGTGTGTTGAATGGTGATTTTCTTGTTATTTACTCCATTTTGCTGTTTAGTTTCTATTGCCTCGTGCACGCCATATCAACACACAACTATAGAGGAGGACTTAACCTGAGCTCCATGCCAAGTGAGGGAGGCCGTGCGCACCTCTACCACACTAACAATATATATAAACCACAACATTTATACTATATATATCATTTTAAAATAAGTAAATTCAGTCTATTTATCATGAATTAATAGGGGTAAATACTCATATAATTTGTAGATTTTATTAATATTTACTGTAAATAAGTTAAAAGGGTTTTGAAGACAAGGAGGATCTCAATACTTAGTAATAAAACAAACTGTCTTATGATCCTGTACTAACGAGTGGTGGTAAACATCTATGATAATTTGTTCAACTTGAGAAGGAAAATATTAAATGAAATATAAATAAAAATCATCATGGCAGCGTTACTGAAGAAGAGAGCTTTAGCGGAGTACTGTCAGACTATTGTGGTAAATGATAACTACTGTATATAAACCTTTCTTGGCTACTTGGTAAATGATAACTACTGTATATAACCTTTCATTGCTACTTGGTAAATGATAACTACTGTATATAAACCTTTCATGGCTACTTGGTAAATGATAACTACTGTATATAAACCTTTCATGGCTACTTGGTAAATGATAACTACTGTATATAACCTTTCATGGCTACTTGGTAAATGATAACTACTGTATATAACCTTTCATGGCTACTTGGTAAATGATAACTACTGTATATAACCTTTCTTGGCTACTTGGTATTTGTAATAAGTATTTTAAACGTTTCTAAACAAAAAGTGTATGATTATGATTTTCACATTTTTCATGTCAGAATTTTACTTTCCTGTGTTGCTATTAATTGATTAAGTTTGTACCACAGACAAATTATTTACTGAATATTTGCAAATTGTATCATGAATTTGTATTATCTCCACTGTTGATTACATGTCCCATTCATCCCCACTGATCTAAGACATAAGAATCATTTGTTATTGGGAGGAGAGGTTATGCAATGTTCTAGATAGTTTAATTAGGCAGCAAATGCAACAAAATAATTTATATTGTTTTGTCTCGAGTATGTATTATTATAATTTTTAGGCCTGGCTAAATCTAAAATATAGGTTTACCATGATTAACAGATGTAGAAATTGGGCCATCTATAGGAAGTGACTCCTAGCCCAGTCAAGCTCTTCATTTAATAATTATAGAGAAAATGAGAATGACAAAACCAGTCTTGGTAACACATGACAAGTGTGGTCTGGACTCAGCACCAACTTGATGAAATTTCTCCATCGTAGAGAATAAGATCTTTACTTATATAAGCTTTCTTTCCTCAAGAAACTGACAAAAAATGCAGGAGGAAAGCATTTTGCATAGTTTAATTTTATTTTTTTTTCGTTTAGGGTAATTTTTTGATAGTCGTACTAAGTTTGGAAACCCCACTTCTTGTCGATCATCGGGTCTGGTTACCACAGTACTTGGGTGGCTGACCGCCTGACCCTAAGCCTCTAATGGCTTTGTCAGTTGTCCTTGGTCAAATTGACGGTATTATTTTACTTTCGGACATAGCACACCCGAAAGTTATAAACTACTGAAACATTTACATCTCGCTATTCTGAGCATTTGGAACCCCATATAGGGAGCCACGAATTACCCAAATGTACCCAAAAGTATAGCAAATAAGGGTAAAATCTTAATGAATATCTGTTATACATACACAAAACATGTTTAATAATATTTTTAGTGTAATTTTGTAAAAATAATTTGTAAGATGAAATAATAAACAGCGAAAAACTTTCAGTATTGGCGAGCGCTAAATTCCAAAGAGTTCGTGAACAAGGGAGATAACTCAGATCCATCGTGATGCACTTCGCTAACCTAACCTAACCTAACATAAAGTAAATCCTACGGCTATGTTAAATACCCCGAAGTAACAGAAACATCGGTAATTATATCTCCAATTTGGAAAGGTGCCTCTTTGGAATTTAGCATCTTTCGCTGTTTATTATTTCATTATTTTGATTACATTTCAATGAAAACATTATTAATCAGGTTTTATTGATGTAAAACATATATTCGTTAAGATTTTACCCTGATTTAATATACTTTTGGGTACATTTGGGTACTTTTGGGTAATTCGTTGTACCGCCCCATATATATATACCAGGCGGAAATAGATGAGCGACACAATTGAATTTAATTGATTTTACGTAGTTTTCAGTCTTCGTCTGTGAGATGTTAACGACACATCACTTATGCGCAATATTGACTGACATCATCCAGTCGTGACCAATGATGTATCGATATCATCAAGCAAATTTTTTCGACCAATCACAATTGATTTTTTCCAAAGGAAGCAGCCTGGGTAATTTCATTGACCAGTCTCACAATGGCCGTGGTGGAGGTTGGTTGTCGTTTGTGCTCCTACGATGATTTGAAGTATTGCTGAGTTTTACTATAAAGACGATTATTCTATCCAATTCTTACGTATCCCTGGTCCTTCCACTTCTAATTAAGGTATTGTGCTTTTGGACATGGCACGCCCCAAAGTTTTTAACTACTGAAAAATTTAGGGTAGTTTAAGCGAGGCCGTCCCGGGGGCAGAGCCCCCGGCTAGAAATTAGGTTAGGTTTTGTCAGGTTAGATGACTCGTATTCGTTTTTTCCTCCACCCAAAAACCCCGATTTCCCAGGCTCTCCCCCATTATTGTGGGAGGGGGGGGGGGTGGCAATTTCCGCCAAAAATGAAGGTCAGATTCGTTTAAAACACACCAAAAAATTGTACACTGGAAAAACATATTGGTCAGTCCCTAGGAACTCATGTCTTAAAGTAAATATTTACCAAATTGACTGAATATCAATTATTATTCCCTACTCGATTTTGACATGAAAACATACAGGTATTTTTCTGGTGTGTTTTCTTAGAATCTTACTTCATTTCATTGGAAAATCGGCATTTTTTTAGAAAATGGAGAAATGACGATTTTCACAAGAAAACGAAGGTGGGAATCGAAGAAAATACAATGTACACCAGAAACATATGTTTTCGTGTCAACTCTTTCGGGTGAATCTGGGGTTTTGAGGGGGAAGGAAAACATTTTCCATATTCATTGACATGTGCTAGACTAATCTAACCTATCTTAGACCTAGAGCCATGTTTCCTAGCTACCCCTGTGAATTTATCTTATGGCATAACTTATGCTGGAGTGTTGAGGCGATTGTTGAAGGCTAGTTTAAACATATCACAAGTGAAAACACTAGAAAAAAAATGATCCAAAGCAAGTAGGGAATACCCTGTACTGTACTTTAATAGAGAATAATAACCTACAGTATTTTTATCTCTGTAGGAGCTGCCGCTCCATCATGTTTACTTTCTATTATCAATTGTAGGCTGGTTTTACAGTTATGTTTGGTTCAGATGCAGCTACCGGTACCCAGTTCAATATTTAATTTATTTTTCATGAAATAAAAAAGTAATTTTTCAAATCTAACTTAACCAAGCCTAATTCAACCTCAATCAATCAGAGTACCATCCTCATATCTGAGGGTTGGCAACCACTGTCATAAGAACAGCAGAAGGATCTCTGTGAGCTTCAAGAATGGTCGCAGAAATGGTTGCTGAGATTCAATGTCACGAAGTGTAAGAGGATGCACCTGGGGCGTGCCAACGGTTGGGAGGCATATCATATGTCCCAACGTGACGAAGAAACTGCATTAAATGAGGCAGAATGTGAAAAGGACCTAGGTGTGTACATTGACAATGAACTGAAGTTCTCGGGCCATTGCAAGAAGAAGGTAAATCAGGCAATTAATGTATTAGGTCTTATAAGAAGGTCGTTCAGATATCTACATGGTCCCTCGTAATGATCTTCAAGAGTGAAGTGCTTCCCTGCCTGGAGTACTGTCACCCCGTCTGGTCCCAAAGATATGCCAGGGACTGTCAACTTATTGAAAATGTCCAAAGGAGGACCACCTGACTGGTGCCTGCACTGCAGCACCTCAGCTACCCGGAGAGATTGGAGCACCTGAACTTGCCAAGCTTATACTACAGACGGGCAATGGGAGATCTGATTGAGGTGTACAAGCATCTCAAAGGGCACTACTCAGTCGAGTGTCCTTACCTGGAGCTGGAGAACACTCGCTTCACAAGGGGACACAGCTCAAGGTTAAAGAAGCCGCAAGTCCGGAATACTGTTAGGGGTAACTTTTTCGGAGTGAGAGTTGTGAACTCTTGGAACAATCTGCCAGAGAGTGTTGTGACGGCACCGAGTGTGAGCTCTTTCTAGACCAAACTTGACCAACACTGGAGCAGGTTCAGATACATTCAGGAGCCGGTGCATGCCCAGTACTTGCCAACAGTGCATAACAGAGACGTAATCGATCGCCCAAGCGGCTAACGAGCCGATCAGTGGTGAAGAGGATGAAAGTAAAAGTATGAGAATGAAGGAAATTGCAGTGGGCCTTTTGGCCCATACTCAGCAGTCCCGTTTACACCCAACCCATATTGCTCGTATATCTGTCCATATTAAATAGGAAGAATGGGAAACTTCTCAGTGAGTTCATGTTAATCCTTAAGCCCCGGGTTCAGGTGCTGCTGGCAGTACTACCCCTCCCCCCCTCGCGTGGGGATAAATCAAGAAAAAATCAACCTTTCTAAAAATAAAAATAAAAAAAATGGCAGGAATAGGCGGACGTTCTAGAACGTCACCCGGGGCGCGTTGGTCGGACGTTGTGGAACGTCACCCGGGGCCTAAAGGTTAATGATGGTGTTCGGTAACTTGTTCCACTCATCCTCAACTCTATTCCCTAATCATTGATTTCATATCTCACGCCTAAATCTAAATTTGTCGAATTTAAAACCATTTCTAGATGTTCACTCCTGTTTTGAGGAACTCCTCAGATTCGGGGTTGCCCGTAAAGTCAGTCCAATCTATTTGGCTAAAGTTAAAGTTCCCTACAATAACAGCTTTAGCTACCATGTCTGAATTCTCATCATATTTCATACCAAATAAATTGTCCTTCAAGCCTTTCCTATGATTAATTTTTCCATACCATTTGTCAAATATATCCACACTTTCTGTATCCAATTGGGTTTTATTTTATTTTTTGATTCCACACTTCATATTATCCCTGACATAGATTACTGTCCTGCCTCCTTTCCTGATCTTCCTATCAGAATGAAATAATTACTGTAGTATATCCTTTAATTTGCTATTTGATAGGTACTGGTAACTCATGCATGTCTTCATTAATCCAGGTTTCAGTGAATGCTAATACAGGGTACAGTATTACCGGTATATAAATTTCTTCAGTGCACACCAGAATTCTGATTTCTTCCATCTTGTTTTTCATACTTCTACTGTTCGCAGAGTACAATAGCCGCCAGAATATATTTAAGTTAGTCGTGATCTAAGTCTTCTCTCCCCTACGATTTGGTTTTAATTCCCTATTTAATTTTTTTTTTGTCATTCTTGGCACAAAATCAAGGAGCCTTTTCAATATGTAACCCCAAGCCCACTGCAGTCTCCTCGACCCTCAGGCTCTTATGTTTGCTTAGCAGTTTAAAGACCTGGGCATCTTTTCAACTGCCCTCTTAAGAGAGCTAGCTAGCATTTCCAGCTCCTCCCTAGATAAATGCACCCCATCCTTTGCATACAGGTCTCTGCTGTAGAAGCTGTCCCAGTTGTCATTGAATGGAACTGATGTTGACTTGCAATACTGTATCTGTCAAGATAGTTGTCGACACCATCTGCCCTTGACAACCATTCATTGCTAACCCTCCCTTTTAGGCAGGACACCACAGAGGATAGGGATACCTCCCTTCATCCTAACCTGGTCAGTAGCTGCCTTGAACTTATCAAGGAGCTCTGCACTCCTAACCTACCAATATCACTGTCTCCTGCACAGAGCCAGATAATGGGTTTGTTCCAATTTCCACACAATATATTGTACAGCCTGTCTACTATGTCATCCTCCACAGCTTCTGTCAAACACACCTTCATCCTCTTACTCCTGTCTCTGCCACAGAAGGCACAATCCATATACCTTACCTGCGAATCTCCAACAATTAAATTTTCTTACCTTCAAACTCTGCCTTATCCTTGACTTTCTTGCCATCCATTTCGTCCTCCAGAGGGCTAAATAAGTTGGAACACTTAGCTGATACATTTCTCTTCTTCACCACCAGCCTAGTCACCCCTCTCTTCATTACTTTCAACTGGTCAGTGTCTTTGTCTTCCACAGACTCCCTCAGTTTCACATCTTTCTTCAGCCTCTCATTATCACCTTTTACCTTAACAAGTTCAGCCTTCAATGTGGCACAGAGACACTCCCAGCTAACACTGAACATGGTAACCACCACTAGTCAATCCCCAGGAGATAATTTGCCGTGACCTTACTTTGAGAGAGGTCAGTTGAAAACTCAAAACATTTTTGCCTATTTTTACAAATCCTCCAAGATTTTGTGTCTCTCTAGGGACCCAGCTTTTAATTTCATTCATCCATCCTGGTCTCTGCCTTTCCCTGGATCAGAAACTTTCTTCATTACTGCAAGCATTGTGTGGCGATTAGTGGCATGATATCATCATGCGTAGCAGTGACAAGCAGAGTACCACAGGGCAGTGTACTGACCCTATTACTGTTTGTTTGTTTCATAAATTACATGTTAGAAGCTATACACTCCTCCATACAAATGTTTGTGGACGATGCCAAGTTATTCAGGGAAATTAAGAACCAAGCAGACTGTGAAGAGCTACAGAAAGGTCTCTGTTAGCTTCAGGAGTGGTCAGAGGAATGACTACAAGTTCAGAAAATTGGCAGGACAAACTTTCTTGGAGTGAGAGTTGTGAACTCTTGGATCAATCTGCCAGAGAGCGCTGTGACGGCACCAAATGTGAACTTTTTCAAAACTAACCCATGCAAACATGGAAAATGGCCTTAAAACATTAATGATTATGAGTAACGTATTCCTCTCCTTAGTCATCAAAACATATATCTTAAGGTAAAAATTTTAGTATCCTTTGCTGTACAGATGCCGCAGCTACTTCACTCCTGAGCAGTTGCTCCAAGTATATAAGGGATTCATTCGTCCTAACTTGGAGTACTGCTCTCATATCTGGGGTGGCTCTTCTTCTGTCCAACTATTAGATAGGGTGGAATCAAAGGCATTTCGTCTTATTAACTCTACTCCTTTAGTCGACAATCTCTCTTCCCTTTCTCTTCGCCGCAATGTTGCTTTTACAGGTACCTTAACGGTCAATGTTCGGTGAATTTGGCATCCTGTGTACCGCCGGCAAGGCCGTGGGTTCATAACACACGTCTTGCCCGCGGTGCCCACCGTTTCTCTGTGGATGTCGGTCACACGAGAATAACCCGTTATAGTACCTCCTTTCCTCACACAGCCAAACTGTGGAATGCTCTGCCTTCTTCTGTGTTTCCATGCTCTTACAATCTGTCTCGCTTTAAAAGGCTGATTTTCCAGCATCTTCATGGTGTAGATTAATACAGTATAACCTTTTTTTTTCTATATTTACAATTTCTTTCCGTCTTTTTTTTTTTTGCCCCCAGGCTCTGTTGTGGGTCGTTTGACTTGTGCCCGGGTGGGCTAATTCCTGTAAAAAAAAAAAAAAATATACAGTACTCTCAAGTAATTTGTGAATGCAACTAATTTCTGGGGAAAAAAATGAGTTACTGATCACTGAAATGTAGTGCCTACTGTTAAAAAAAAAACTTCTTTCGGTTAATGAAAATACAGTACTGTACAGTATCAGTAAATTAGAGGATGGTATTGACATTGTTTACAAGGGACGCCTGTGATGGCAATATGATATGCTAAAATCAGTAGGTTGGAACATTATTCTCTCCATATCCATAAAAATTATTATGGGGAATAGATACTCTCATGTTTCCCTTTAATGAGTTTGTTTCTTTGACAGTAGATTTCCTAATTTAGGTTCTAGTGACTGATGTCCATAGTTGGTAGCTCCACTGTATATGCATTGGCTTGGTAAACACTGCTGACTCTTAGAATCTCCTGCCTGTAGAGGGTAATTTTTGCATTAAATGAACTATTTTGGGGGAGAAAATGAAGAATGTTCATATGATCAGACCTCCATCTTCAGTTAAAGGTTGCATTTTAAATCCCCTGACCTTCCAAAACAGTTTGATCATTAGTAGAGCTGCCTGGTTACAGGCTTACCTAAAAAGTAGGATTTCAGTAACAACCCTTTATTTATAATTGAAGGAACAACAGTGTATGGATCCTTCATGATGGGAGTCCTGAAGGCTAGTTGATTCCAGAAATGTCTTTGCCATTAGTATGATTGGTCAGGGCAACTATTTAAAAGCCCTTCTGTTTCTTTTGCACTGTGTGGTTACACCATATGTTAGGGGGATGCTTTTCCCTCTGGGAATTATTTGATTAAGATATACAGTAGTTGGAAAGATAACAAAGTTTAAGCATCACAGATAGTTATATAGTGGCTTTGTCATGATGTATTGTTAGTGTCACATTTTTTAAATAATGAATTCTGTTTTTATCTAGGAAGAAGCCCCAAAACCAGCTAAGAGGTTGCAGTTGGTACGACGGCCCCGTACAGTCGACCATAGTGAGTTCAATGTGTCATCTTTAGAGACTACAGATCCACTGCAGCTCCTCCCAATATTAGTGAACCTTCATCATGCTCTCCCCATTTCTGTAAGTTGTGCATTTTTATTAATTTACAAATATATTTTTCATAGCTATGTACAGTACAGGGTTCCCCGGGCGTACGAACGGGTTCCGTTCCTGGAATGTTCTTAAGTTATATTTGTACGTAAATAGGAAAACATGCTATGTGCATACTGTATACTTACAGAACAATGATTAAAATCCCACTATATCATAGCCTAAGTCCTTGTATACATTTAAAATCACTTAATTTATGACAAAAGAGGAAATAGAATGACAAAATACAATAAATAAAAGTAAAAAAGTAAGTCATTAGGTAAATAAAATACAGTACTGTAAATCTCAAGTTTAACCTCGTTCGTACGTCGGGGACCTTATGTATCTAATACAGTCTCTCCTCGACTTACAACAACCCGGACATACGACGGTCATGGTCGTATAAAATATTTTTCACCTTACGTATTTTCGAGTCCCGAAATTAGTGATCGCCCTGTGTACTGACAAAATTTTCTTTTGTATTTCCCTTTAAAATGGCTGGCAAGCATAAAAGTGCGAGTTCTCGTGGTGCTGAGAAGAAAAAGAGACACCCATTTTAGAATCTATGTATTATTTTCACCTTTTCGACTTGCGACCAAATCGACTTACAAACTGGTCGTCGGAACCCAGTCGTAAGTCGAGGAGAGACTGTATAATGCTCATATTTAACCCTACGGTATGGGGGCAGATTTAGGAATATCAAAGGGGGGGGGGGTTCAAGTTATGGGTGGGGGAGCGTGGGAGCATCATAAGCCCACCCAGTTTTTTTTTGGGGGCTTACTTGAAAACTGACTAATACCATGGGGATTTTGAGGTCATGTGCACTTGATATTGGGTGATATTCTGAGGTCAATAGTAATTACTTTTTAGTTTTAAAAAATGCTTGTTTGTTTTTTGTTTTTACCCAAAAAATTTTGTAAACATTCCCACAAACAGATGGCAGCACTTTGACCTTTGCTGCTCCTGCCTGTTAGCTTCCTTAAACTACTGATAGAGTAGCTACCTATAAAGTTTCTTCCACATCTAGCCGAGCTGAGCTGAGGTCAACATGAGGTTTGTTGTGGCTTGGAATGAGCAAAATAACCTATGGTACTGTACAATACTGTACTGTACTACACTAGGTGTGTTTTCCTGGATGAACTGTCTCTATTATTTGGTATTTATGATACAATAAGACTAAAAAGTTTTAAACTTCTACATCTTTATTTTTTTTGGGGGGGGGTGGGGTGGCATTAGTCCACCTAGGCACAGGTTATTGACCCACATCAGGGCCTTAGGAGGGCGAATATATTATAATAATAATAATTATAATAATAGTAGTACAGGTAATTACTATAAAATAATAATCAATAAAAAAATGAAAAAAATAGAGTGAGAAACGATATACATTATGTATGTTGTGCTGTCAAAGTAAGAGAAACAACTGAGACCCTGCAATTGTGTGTAAATGAGGTAGAAAGTCAGATCAGTAACCTGGGACTTGGTCACAATTTTTGTGATGCCATATGGCAGCAGGGTCTACCATTAGACAACACTTTATGCTTGTAATATCTTCCCAGGCGGTAGTACCTCCCTGTTTGGTAGCTGCCTACTACCTTTTTAAAGAAAATAAAAATTAAAAAATGTGAAACAATATTAACTTAACAATGATTATGGAGAGTACTGTACAGTATAGAATGTGAGGGCAATAATGTGCTGCACATGTATTTTATTTATTTTTTTATATTGAAGATGTACCACACTGTACTGTATAGCAACAGTGAAGGTGAAAGAATTAGGAAGATGTTAACATTAGAGTCTGTTAAGAACCTGACAAAGGAGACCGCAAGAGACCATGCAGCATGGAGAGCTGCCATGGAGGAGATGATGAAATCCTTGATGTCTCATTTTAAAATTTGGGTGACTATGAGAAAACTTAAGCTGAATGGTGGCAAAACTGAGATTCATTGTCATCTGAGGAAATAAGAGGGTCAGAACACAGATGATTTTGGTTATTTAAACTTTGGGGAAGTACAGTTCATTCCTGTTGATTTTATTCATAATCTTGGAGTGTACTTGACTCAAAACTGAATTTTAAAGAGTATATAAATTCAGGAGTTAAGAGTTGCAACTTTCATATTCAAAATCTCTACTAAAGTATACTGTTTGCTGTTAAACAATTTTTGGATAGACAGCATCTTGTGACACTATTATTTTCACTTATTCTGTCTCGGATTGACTATTGTAACTTATGGATCTTGTCCTTGTGCATGTATTAGGACCCATAATGAGAGAGATATTGGTGCAAGAATTGGAACTGTGAACTTAGGCTCAGAGAAGGTCTCCATTGTGTATAATCATCTTTTTGTTCATGTCTATTAAAATTTCCAGCAAGACCTGCCTCTGTCTTATTCCCTTTTCCTGTGTTTGTAACTCCTGCACATTTACTTTTTCTTCTCCAATGAAGGTCCGTACGACTTAAAACAACCACTCCATACTCCTTAGAGTGGGTTCTGTGTTCAGTCACCCACATGAGTCCTGTCACCTCTCCTGCTGTTCCACGATCCCCAAGATTCAGATGTGTGAACCTGAGCCTGTAGAAACTGATGCATTATTCTGTCTAAATGCTTCGGATTCAAGAGTCTGAATCTTGTGGTTTCCGGTTCAGGAGGAGAGGCAACAGGACTTAAGTGGATGACTGTACTGTATTTTACAGTTTTATTGTAACCATGTAAAACAGTGTAAAAAATTTCATATATTGTCTGTGTCCTCACTCTTGAAGATGAGAATTACACAAAAGCACTTGGGAACTTTGTGTTTTCTTTTTTCGTATGTGGTTATCAGCATATACAGTATTGTGTAATATAAACTTCTTCACTTATTTCAACTTTCAGGGTGAAGCAGAGAGTGAATTAGTGCCGGGGTTGATGAAGTTGGTGACAGATGACTCCCATCCTCCCATCGTCATCACCAAGGTGCTGACACTCCTGGCCCACATGATCACCACGCACTCACAAGCACAGGTTCTGACAGACCCTAGAATTTTGTACAGTATCTGGTATACAGTACAGGTATTTCTGAATGTACAGTACTGTGTCTAGAATAGTTACTCAAATTTTTTACTTGTCCAGCTTATTCCCAGATAAAAGACCCTCAGTCTCTACAGTATTTGTTTATTGGAAAGAGAAGTGGTGTACTCATCTCTTTGTCAACTTGTGGCTTTTATTAGATGGAGTTATGTAGTTCCAGATGTTGCTGTCAGGGTAATAGCGATTCATCATCTTCCATTTTGCAAGTGTTTTAATGTACAGTTGTACCCCACTTAACGCGGTCAATATAACCCAGAGGGTACCGTGTTAAGTGAAAACCGCGTTAAGTGAACAACAGAACATATGGGATTAATTCCAATAGAAACCGGCCCGACCCCCAAACTCCACTTTTTGACGACACATAACTATGTTGTAGTAAAAATAACATCTTAATTTTATGATGGTACATGCACACAATTAATACTTAAGAGAAATAGAGAAATACTGTCGCCAAGTTAATGTCCATTCAAATAATGGACTCATCTCCCTTCCCCTCTTCTCACACTACACTGCTGGCTCTTCCCTCTCTGAGAAATTTTTGGGGGAAAACCACTAAATTTTAATAAATAATACCTCAAACTAAAGTTAGGATAATACAATTGACATTGCTGGATTCCTTGTAAGACCAGGAATATTTTGAATATAAATGTCATATATTTTGCACAAAAGATAACATATTTACTCAGAGTAAACATTTTATCTAAAATTTGTATGTCTAATGCAAAATATATGATGTTTATATTCAAAATGATCACCAAATTGTAAGAATTCCAGCAATGTAAATTATATTCTGGCCGGGTAATTTGTATGAATTTTATGAGCTAAAACAGGCAGTCAGGCAGGGTGGCGGGTGGGGCAAATCTAAAAATAGCTCTCGAGCTGGACACTCACCGCTTATATGTGGAAAAAACCCGCGTTAAGTGAAAGTTCAGCTCTGGCGAGGCACGGAGACACCGCGTATACGGTAAAACGCGCTAAGTGAAACCGCGTTAGGCGGGGTAATACTGTAGTATGTAATAGGCAGCTAGCAAACAGGGAGGTACCTGTACTACTGCCTGGGAAGATATTGGAAGCATAATGTATTGTCTAATGGTAGACCCTGCTGCCATATGGCATCACAAAAAATTTGCCCAAGTCCCAGGTTGCTGATCTGACTTTCTGCCTCATTTACACACAATTGTGGGGTTTCAATTGTTTCTCTTGCTTTGACAGCACAACACATAATGCACTATATATTGTTTCTCACTCTTTATTTATTTTTTTCTTTTTGTGTTTATTCATGGTTATTATCATTATTATTATTATTATTATTATTATTATTATTATTATTATTATTATTATTATTTTAAATTTTATTTTGTTATTATTTTTTATTAATTATAATTATTATTATTATTATTATAATAATAATAATTATATTTTCGTCCCCCAGGCCCTGATGTGGGTCATTGACCTGTGCCCGGGTGGGCTAATGCCCGTAAAAAAAAAAAAAATAAATAAATAATAATAATAATAATAATAACAATATACAATAATAATAAGGCTTTAACTGGTGTAGAAAATAGGAGTCATCATCTCATCCAGCCATGGTACAAATTGCAATGTGAATACAGTGCATGAACTGATCCTGTGTGTATTAATGAAGTTTTTGATACATTGTACAGTATCTCATGTATTGGGAGATCCACCTCATGTTGTGAAGTAGTTTTATGACATAGTGTGGGCAGTATAGTTTGATTCACTTCATTCCAGGTTGTTCATTGCTGAGATTCCAGCCTGGGAAGTTAGTTGAGATTATTCATAGGACTATGTTCTGTAGTGTAGAACATTTAGATCCCTATAAAAACAGCCCAAGAATATTTAGAGTGGAGGACTGTGGCTGCCAACCCTCAGGTATGAGGATGGTACTCTGACAGATTGAAAGGAGGACCTTATTAGCTACCTATCATAATTTGTATCCATGGAGGAATTGGGGAACACAGCTAAGCCCTGTTTCTCTCATAAATCTGGGCTATATCCACACATCCCATAACAGTATATTGCTTTCACTGTTTTACAGTTAGTACATACATTAATTATTTGGCAAGCTTGGGATGAGAAACTAACAAAATTTGAGAATTATCCAAATTTTGGAACATATGCTGAAGGCTGGTGGATGAGATCCCCAGATGACCCCAAAATGAAATGCAATGCACTTTTACTGATACTGTATTAGGTTCCTGGAAATTTTAATGATTTTGTGAATCATAGTTTATCAAATTTAAATTCTTTTGGGAATGGGGAGTTAGGTTCTGGTCCTGGACTTCAAAAACTTAACCTTTGCCACCTACCACACATATTATGTCACTTTTTACTAAAGAATTGTGGCATTCAGACAAAATGGTGTCACATCAGTAGAGTACACAAGAATACTGTTTTGTACATTACATAAATTATGGTAAGGAATGATTTACAATATACTGTAGTCCCTCGCCAACCGTGGGAGTTAGGTTCCTGAAAAACCATATGGTTGGCTAATCTGCAGTTGGCAATACAAAAGGCTTTTGGGAAATAAGGGGTTAGGCTCCATGGTTGCAGATAACACTCACCAAGGCCTAACTAAGTTGCCTTTTCCTTCACTAAACAATACCTGTATTGTACATTTTTTTAAGTTGAGTCATACATATAAAATAGGTTAATATAAATTAAATAGTAATAAAAATGAAGAGCATGGGTGGGTATGTGTGAAGTGAACGTGTGAATGTGTGTGTAGACTTGGCAGGTTGCCAAATCCCTGTAACTACGTCTCCCTAGCTCTCCCCCCTACCAGTCCAAACTGTTATTATATTATTTTTCAACTCATATTTTTGGGGCAGATACAGTATTGTATATGTAATTTTATTAATTTATTTATTTGTTTTTAATGTTACCTGCACATGTACGGTGATCGTTCATACAAAATGTGTAAAAAAAATAAAAGAAATGATTATCATAAGGTCAAAAACCTAAGGGGAATAAACATATCTTAGGTCCGTGAGAGTTAGCCCATGATCGTGGGAAGGGGAGCACGCTCCTGAGTCCTTAGTGAAACAATTGCCAAATGGCAATGCAGTATTTTTTATTTTATTTATTTGTATTATTTTAATTCCTCACATTTACGGAGGAATATGTTAGACCGCAGAGGGATAAAGATGCCACGCTAATCCGTGGATAGTCAAAATTAAATGCCGTGGTTGGTGAACTGGTATACAGTACAGAGTAAAAACCAAGGATACCCAGAATCTGCGGATGAGAAATCCGTACTTGGCGAGGGTCTACTCAGTCTACTGTATTGACAGCATTTGCATTGTATTCTCCTCACAGCCGATCATCAACCCACCACCACCATCTCCTTAGATATCATACATCTGTATAATATTATAGTGAATAGATAGTGAAAGGCATAGATGTGTTGTAGAATTATGAAGAAGAAAATATAGGCTAGATGAATAAACATTTCAGTCATTGTCATTTATAGTGTATTAACCTTAGCATGACATACAATACATTACAGATTAAACATGTACTGTTCACAATTTATGTATAATAGTATTAAATGTAGTTGAAAATATAGATATAAAATATTGAAAATTTATGACAAAACCATACCAGTAAGCAAATGAAAACATAATTCACATAACTCACTGTGACATTTACAATAAGCAAATACTGCGAGTCACTGCGTTAGGAACAGGTTATGTTCCTGGACCCTGTTTGTAAGTCGTTTGTCAATAAATTTGCAATAAAACATGAATATAACTTATCCTTACTTGAGGCTGCAGATCTTTATGATATATGTTCCGGTGTAATACAAACATGATATAACTTGACTAGACATTGTTCAAAAATTCTTGGTCCGTTTTTCACAATACCATATATATCTAGCGTCTATTGTATTTATTTTGTTGCTGAACGTACAGTGATCATTATACTGTGAATTAACACCAGACCATCCAGATGTAATGTTAGTCACAGCATTACAAGTGATGCATAACCATTTGTGATATTACAAAGTATCTCTTCTGCATTTGTAAAGTTTGGTATACTGTACTGTATTTAAGTAATTAATACATTACTACTGTACCTAGACACTAAAAGTTCTTTATTTCCTATTTTAGATTATATTTGAAGAAGTGGTGAGTGTGACCCATAGGAGCAAATCTCAGAAAGTGATTGCACAGGGGATTCATACAGCTTGTGCCTTGTCTCAGTGTGTTCCTCCAGACTCAAAAATGCAGGACCAGGTCATCCAGTTGGCCCTTTCACAGTTTGTCAGCTCAACTTTTATTATAAAGGTGAGTACTATGTAATATTAAACATATTTTGTTATATTTAGAATTTAGATGTTTTCTAGTGCTTTAGAAGTTTTCTTAAAAACAATACACTAAACTGAAAAGTTCTATCTGACCAACTAGACTTTACTAGATGGTTCAAGTATAATGTGGTCACTAAGCCACTAGACTAGTTCCAGGAAACTTGACATTAGTGGCTTGGATTAATGAATATTATTAATAAACTTGTGCTATTGCAACTGTAGCTCAGAAAATAGGTACTTGAAAGCAAGCTTTTCCCTCTCAGACAGTAGAGCAGGGGTGGAAAACTTGGCTCTTGGGCACTTCTGGCCAGCTGAGGGTGTCAGGGTGGCCCACATCTACTGTACTGTATATTCAAATTCATTGTTTTTTCTCTTTTAGGGGAAGAAAAAAAGGAGAGGTATAGAATTTATAGAGTTTTCATTGCAATTTAGCTACAGTAATTTCCCCATTACGTGGAATATACGATTCCCGGAACTCTCAAATAACTGAAAAGAATTAGCCTTTCAAGAAATCCCGGGAAAAATCTCTACATTCCAAACATGGTAACGAATTTCCTAGGATGGAATCATGTGTATTTTCGGAAAATTCTGAGAAAATCTCTCCATTTCGAGCAAGGGAACGAATTTCTGAGCGATAGCATAATGTTTCCAACATGGGGACACATGCTAGGCGCATGGGTGGCTAGGCTCAGAATGCTCATGAGCTATGATTGGCTACTACTGTTATGTGGCTGCATGGGATGCCTATGATTGGCTGAATATCTTGCAGCCTATCTCTTCCACTTGTGTATGCTAGTGCAACAAGAGATGGTACAGGACAAAGGCAGGCCATTCTATATCATCATATCACCATTTGGCCTGCCTGGTCAAGACGAAACCATCTGGTGATGAGTACAGTATAGTGTATACAGTGCAGCTGTAGTATATATTGTTTATGTGCAATATACTGTACATGTACAGTATTGTTTGAATAAATACCACTCTGTCTGTCTGACTGCAGTTAAATCCCCATAGTAATGATGCTTTGTGAAAGATAGGTAGCTTAGTTTTTGAAACATTCACCATTGCCCGGAAAATTCTGTAGATGTGCGATTTTTTCTGGGGATAAAAGAATTCGTCTCAATACCTGGAAACTCGCTGCACCAATTGTTTGGGCTAACGGAAATATTACTGTATTCATAGGGAAAATGTTGGTATAGCAAGGGATACAGTACAGTACCTGTATTGTATCATCCTAAAATTACCTCTGGTTTGTTTACATAGTGTGAATACTGCCATCAATCAGCTGATGCTATACTCTTCCTCTCTGTTGTGTTGTCAGCAATATCAACACCTCCAAACTTCTCTTCACTTTCAAATTAGCATAAGAAATTTAAGAACACATAGTGATAATCTTTTATTTAATTTGACATATGGTACATAAGAGTAAATGAGGAGAAATTGTTCAATGAGGCAACTGGCTGAGTGACTGTGTGTGTGCTGATGTGGAGACAAGTCTACTTGATCACACTGAGTTTGAGGAATAAGAATTGGAGATTGTAGGAAAATGGTGACAAGGTTAAAGCTTATTTGTAGAGCTTAATAAAATAAGAGTGCAATAAATAAATAAGCAAATAAGGTAACTACAATACAGTATTTAACATATTTTCATTATTACTGTACTAAGGAAAAATTGCAAGAATGACCAGAAATCTATTTTTTATTATTATTATTATTTGCTCATAAAATAAATCATGGGACAAAATTTTTTTCTTGTAACTTTGAATTTTTGTAAACCATACCTTCATAAAACAAGGACTGCCTGTATACTGTACAGTATATGTACCGTGTATTCTCTGGTTGTATGTTCTGATGTTCCCGACAAGGATAAGCATGCATTTGGCAATACACCCATTACATGTTACCACTTCATTCCACTCCACCTTTCTGCTTTCTCACTCCATAATTTAAAATTTATGTATCGTAATATGGAAGGAATACAACGTTGTTCATTTATACTTACACTCAGTTTTGTGGGGAGACATCAGCTGTTCAATTGTGTCTGGCAGTGCTGCAGCCAGTGTTACCTAATAAACTGACTGACGCATCTCCTCACCACTTAGTGCAATCTTCCCCTTCACCACCATGATCACCACTGTTACGACCCTTGGCCTCTTAGGTTGTAACAACGCACAAATTCAATTTCTCTTTGTACTATAGGTCCAAAGAATAGATCCCACCAAACTCATCACCTCATTACTATGGGGTATATTGAAATTCATGAATTAGATTTAATTACAGAATTTATATAAACAAACAAACACTAAAACAATAATAATACGACAAGATGTTTGGAAGTGGCTGAGTATGACTGAAGGTCCAACATGATCACACAATATCAATATCAAGCAAAACAAATCACAATAGTCAAATGCCAACTCCCAAAACATGAGAGAGAGTGTATATTACTTAACTTAAAGACAGCTGTGCCTAGACTGACTACCGACTACCAGTTGGTCACCGACGTCACCTTTCTACCGCCAAATACTGACGTAACATATCCCGATTGGCTAAAACATAAAACTACATTTAAATTACCCTACTGACATTACTTCCACATATCTAACCTATTTACAAACCTAATGTAATAAAACAATACAATAAAACATAATACAGTGTAATAAACAAAGTTAATATTTGAATAAGGGCTCAGTTGGTGTGGGCGAGTAGTGAGCGAAGCTGCCCGAGACACCCACACACCATCCGAAACAACGAATTTTATACAAAGAACAGAGACTAATGGCGGATATTCGTAACACCACCAACATCGCCACCTAAATCATAATTTCAGTGATGGAGAGATGGATTTGTTTTAGTCAGAGCAGATCAGTATGATACCCACTGCTTCCCACCCACTGCATCTCACCGACACTGCCTCTCTCACTCATTCTACTATGACTCATTCATGATACGATACAGGGGGTCCCTGGATTACAAACGGGTTCCATTCCTGAGGACGTTCTTAAATCGAATTTGTACGTAAGTCGGAACACATGCTATGTGCATACTGTACTTACAGGACAATGTTTAAGATCCCACTATATCATAGCCTAAGTCCTTATATACATCTAAAATCACTTAATTTAAGCCAAAAGAAGAAATAGAATGACAAAATACAGTAAATGAAAGTAAAATATAAGTCATCAGGTTAATAAAATACAGTACTGTACTGTAAATTTCAAGTTTAACCCCATTTGTATCGGCGGGTGTTCATAAGTCGGGGACCCCTGTATTGTACAGTACTGTACATTGTTTAATTGTTATTCATTAATTAGTAAGGATATGTTACTAGTATTACATCTTTAAGTGTATCTACACATTTTTGGTAGTAAATTTGGGTCAGTTAGGGGATGCATCTTTGGGGTTGTGGGATGAAACCAATTTTTCCCATATGTTGTATGTTTCAATATACTGTATACGGTTTTGCTTATCACGGTAGTTTTCTGGAACCTAACCTACGCGACTATCAAGGATACATATAATTACAAAATGTGCTGTGTGTTAACCTTAAAGTGAAAGGAACATTGTAATAAATAACTAATGTAGTGAGCACATGTTCATATAGAGGGGTCCCTCGGGAAAATGTTGCTCGCCCCACTACAGTATACTGATATCTGCTCACCACATCATTAAATTATCACAATATTTTTTCCTCCAGAATTAAAATTAAACACACTCCAATCCTTCTAATTGCTATATAATTTATATGGAAAATAGCATAGAATTATAGAAGTGTTTATATATGACTGTGTGCATGCCTAATTGTTTATACTGTAGTAGGACTTGGCAGATGTGTGGTTATTACCCACTCAGGAAGGCCATACAAACATGGCTCAGTAACATGACTACACTCACTTTAGGGAGAAAGCCTTACGTATATTTGTGTGTGTATGAGTGTACACCTAGTTTCTTGAAAATCACCTCGGTATGCACTGTATGTGTGTATATCAGACTGGCCAGGTCTTGGAGATGTGTAACAAGAGATACCAGTGGTCTATATGGAAAAAAAAAAATTATACTCTGTGCAAAAGTTTCTGTCATTTGAAGTGTAAAGAAATATTATACAGACACTTGTTTTTATAGGTGCGGGCATTAGAAGCAGTTGGAAGCTTGTGCCCTGTTGAAGCTGGGCGCATGCAGTCAGCCATAATGACAACTCTAATTGAACATACGTCACACCAAGACAACAGAGTTAGGACTGCAGCCTTCAATTCTCTTGTTAGTAATTAATGGTGTCTTTCTTTTTGAGTCAAGTATTTCCTGGGTGCAGTTATAGTCATGCTCTTATTGAATTATGTGTATAATGTGTCATAGGAAATAAAGTTGTAAATGGAAGATTTCAGTGCTTCACTTTTACTCTCAAACTTAATAATGTAATGAAGTGTAATATTTGACATTACAATTGAATATAAGACGGGGTGAGGGTCTGAGATCAAGTCATACGGGAGCACAGAATAAAAAAGTTTAAATATTGCATCACTGATCTAGACCTTTATTGTGAATACAGTACAGGTATTAGTAATCCCAAGAAAGTGTTGCAGACAGATGTAATAATATGTATCTTGAGAATTAATAAATGTTATAAATTGATATTTGGATGCATTTCAGTTTGTTAGTAACCTTTTCCAACAGCTTGTTGTGCAGGAGAAAGGAGTAAAACTCCTCCCAGAAGTTTATGATAGTGCTTGCCTGGCCCTCAGTGATGACTATCAATGTGTTCGAGAAGCAGCTCTTCTTCTTGTCAAGGTACTGTATGTCTTAATATACTGTAATGTGTATGAACTAATGCATGGAGCAGACACCAGGGCAGGGAAAACTTTTGCTTTTAATTTGCTATGGTGGGCTCTACAGTATTTGATATGAATATTAAATAATAATAATAGCTTGTCTTTTGTTTCTCAAAAGTGTAAGTTATATTGATTTACCTGTACAGTACCTATATATTTCAGTAGGAAATACAGGTTACAGAATTTCATCCCCCCTCCCCAAAATAAATAAATAAAGAAATATATATACTGGTATGTATATATATATATATATATATATATATATATATATATATATATATATATATATATATATATATATATATATATATTTCTTTATTTTTTTTTTTTATAAAGATCACGAATTAGAGCAACGGGTACCTTGGCTTTAGATAACATTTGAGACTCGTTGTTTCCCATCTTCCATCATTATCAAAAGACTATCTTATCACGTTGTCATTTATTGGTTGCATGAAATATATATATATATATGTATGTATATGCCATATATATATATATATATATATATATATATATATATATATTTCATGTAAATCACAATATTAACGTGAATAAAATAAATATGATAAAAATCTGCAGGGAAAGATAGGCTGCTTGAGTCTTGAATAAGATATTTCCTCCCCGTGTGTTATAAAAAAAAAAATACTATATATATATATATATATATATATATATATATATATATATATATATATATATATATATATATATATATATATATATATATATATATATATATATATATATATATATATATATATATATATATATATATATATATATATATATATATATATATATAAAAAAGCAGTTGCTAGAATATTATGAGAAATTACCCCACCCCCTTATTTTAAAGGAAATAAAATAAAGAGCAGGTTATGTAGCTGAACATCCTCTTGAGTATTTTTGCATGATATTGAGCCTCTTGTTCTTGTTCCAATTTGTATGTATGACAAACACACTAATAAACTACTCAGTAACCCTCACTCACACCTGGGCCAGAGGTTGTTGTGTGTGAACTCCCAATGTGTTGATGTGACACATACCAACTTCCTTGTATGACCCTTGCTCACAGCTCCAAATCCCTCCCTCCCTAAACCACCATTTTTCAAAGTGAATTTTGGCATTTTTGGATGTCTCACATTGTTTCTGACTTTTTTCTTTTTTTATAAACAATCTCATAAAGCTTCTTTCAGAGTTTATGTGTACATTTAACACCCAGTTCAGATATATATACACTGTATATATTTTTATGATCTGGGCTTACATTGCAATTTAGGGCATACAGTACATGTTACATCAAAATTGTAGAATTGATTGTTAAATTGGAATTCTATTGTAATATGTTTTGTGTTGGCAATTATAATATTGTACGAATATTTTGTTGTATGCAGTATTAATTCTTCTCTTGCCTCTTTGAAGCTGGGAGAGCTATTATACACCACCATTGCTCATGTCTACATTTGTTCCAGAGTTGCAACAGTGCAGACCAACTTTGTAATTAGAGGTTACAGTAAGTGTTGACAAACCACAATCTTTTGCAGGTAGCAGCAGATAGTGACCCTGAACGTTTAGTGCCCATCTTAGACAGCGATCACCATGTACGCCTGATTGACCATGCCTTCTCACAAATTTGTAATGTTGTTAATGACATCAGTGTAAGAGTGAGGACTCAAGCTGCCTCACTCTTGGGGAATATGACAAGTGTTTCTGAGAGATTCTTACAACAGACCCTTGACAAGAAGCTTATGTCCAACATGAGAGTAAGTTAATTTTATTTTTTTTTCTATATATTGCACTGTACATACAGTAATTATTTTGATATGTTTTTCTTATCATGATATTGATACATTATTGACTGTATGCTGTGAGAATGATTTAGATAAATTGTTTGTAATTTCACCAGTTTAGTATGTATGTTTTGGTTAAGTTTTCTTGATATATTGTGTAATTTTAGAGACATGCATTGTGTGTCCAAGTTTACATGGATCATGCTGTGTGTTTGGTCATATGCTTAGTCTTCTTTTTTTTTCATATATAGAAAATTGACATCCCTGTGTTTGTTGCCTGTGTGTGTGTATTTAAATTACCTAATCCTTATTTAAAGCATAAGAAAATACACTGAAAATTGGGGAGATTCCACTGGTAATGGTTGTATTTTAATTTGGAGAGAGAGCCTATCACTACAGTAGTTTTTAGTTTTATTTCATTGGATTTCTGAAGTGCAGTATAGCCCAGTTGCATAAATGAAGATTTCCTTGGAATTTTTTGGTTTGAACACACAAGCTTGTTGATGCAAGTACATGAGCCTCTCAATCCATGCTCATTCTGGGTTATTTGAATTCAAGTTTGACTTCTTTGTTTGATCAAGGCTTAAGTGATAGGTTAGATAATTATTATTTTAAAATAAAAGACATTGACAACGAAAAGAAATATTGTGTTAATGTGAGTGCTTGTTTTATGCAAAGCATACAACGTTTCTGACCATACAGTATATAGCCTCTCAGCAGCCTTTTCTTAAATTAAAGTTATTGTCCCTTTTTGTTAAGTCTTTTGGATTATTAAATGCTAATTTTCCTTGACTTATTCTAGTTATGATTTCTTTTGCATGTCTACTACCACAGTTAATGTTACTTCCCAAATATGCAAAAAAATTCCACTTGTTTAAGTTCCCTGTTGCCTACCATAATTCTTATGTTTGGCTTTATTTCCAATTTAGAAACAACTATTAATTTCGTCTTCACAGCATTAACTCTTAAACCATATTCTTTACCATTTCCCACTGAACTGTTTACCAGTTTTTTTTATGCCTTTTTACTAAAGATGATAAGAGCAGTATCATCTACATAGTGTGTACAGTACTGTACTGTACATGTCAATAGCTATAGATCTTTCATTTCCCACACCTGAAGTCTGTTTGATAACTTATGTTTTATTGCTTGTTCCAAAAAAGTTAAATCTGAGAGTTTTCTGTACTTCTGAACTTCTTCATCTTGAAGTTGTGACCTCTAGTATGAGAAGGCCAATACAAGTTAAGAATATTGTACTGTACTGCAATGTTTTTGAACAAAATTAAGACAAGTTTCCTTTTAACCTTATAAATTTTCCCCTCAACTAAGGTAACATTGGTAACTTAATGTAATCTATACAGGCATACCTCTTATAGCACTCTTAAGATATGTTCCTGGAAAACTGAGCTTAAAAGAAACCCCTGTATAAAATGGTTCCAATAGGGATATGTGCATGGTGGCACTTTTCCTAATATTTGAGTGATATTTGAGGGCTTCATTGGATATTATTAATGGTACTACTAATTATACTGTACTAGAGCATTTGGTCAGACTTGTGTAAGATTGACCTTCTCCTCCTACATAGCATTGGTAAGAAATGCTCAATGAATAAGTTCATTAGTGACTGTTAATGAAGTGATTGATTGGGTAGTAATCCATTATCTTGTCTGCTTTCTTGAGAATAGTTCTGATGGTTAATACAGACTAATGCATTCTATGACTAATATCAACTCACCTCCACACATCTTATAATATGCATTACCCACACTATCACTTGCAGGCCTTTTTTATAGATATTATGGGTCATTTATAGTTTAAAAAAGAAAGTTGGTATCACAGTAGAGTAAACACGCATCTCCAGGAGTGTGGAGTGTTCAAAATTGGCATAGAGGTGGGCACTGATTGGCTAATTGGTACATCATTTTCAGTGGTTGAAAGAGTTGAGGGTTGCTAGTTGCATACACTTCTGATCTGCTTCATATTTTTTTTTCTTGCAGAACAGCGAGTGTTTTAATTAGACAGTGTACAGTATATATATATATAATATATATATATATATATATATATATATATATATATATATATATATATATATATATATATATATATATATATATATATATATATATATATATATATATATATATATATATATATATATATATATATATATATATATATACCATTATATATATATATATAATGGTATACCAAATCTTACAGAGAAAACGGTCTGCTCATGAGCGTGCCCGGGCCATGGTCTCTTCAGGAGAGTGGTCAACTGGCAAACGATGGTCTGATGATTCCCCTAAAGAGCATGTAGAAGCAGATTCTGTGTGCATTATTAATACCGGTGCTTGTGGAGCATTTGTACATGGTTTAGAAGATGAATTCCTTGGTAAGATTAAGCAGTTTTTCAACTACAGGTATTGTAGTGTTTTATTTGATATAATATTTATTTTTTTGTTTTATTAGGTGATTTTTTTAATATATATACAGTGACCCCTCGGTTAACGAACTCAATCCGTTCCAGAAGGTCGTTCGTTAACCGAAAAGTTCGTTAACCGAAACCATTGTTTCAATGTGTTTTTGGGTAATTGGTTCCAGCTCACCGAAAATTTCCTAAATTCAGCAAAAATGGTAGAAAAGTTCACTTACTTTGAGGTGTGTTTGTAGAAGGCTCCTGGATGATGATGATGATGATGATGGGATTTAGAATGGGGGTGGAGAAGAAGGAAGAAGAGAAGGCATTGGGGTGGAAGAGAAGTCACCCCATGGCGCCATTTCACCCATAAAATTTTAGCTCTCTTGGTGTAATTCAAGATTATTTTCTTTAAATCAACACTGCACTGCATTATATATTGTCAATATGTAAAATATATTTCAAAATGACCAATAATTTGCTTGGAAACACAGAAAAAAAGTTTTTAGTTGAAGAGAGTCTCAAGCAAGATGTTATCTCCAGTGAAAACAGAGAGAGACTAACGCCTGTTTGCTGTGTTAAGAGGCTGGATGCCGCGCATTAAACTAGTCACTTTACCTTCAATTATGTTCAATAATCGTTAAAATGACTAAAAAATTGAATATTAAACTTTTAAGATTATTGTATAGTATAAACTTCTTGATAGTATTTACTAAAATAGTAAGGAATTTAAGCCCTAGAACCGATTAACGTATTGGCGGACTGATACTAAAGCTGGTTGCCTGGTCAGTGCAAGCGAAACATGTTGAGGTCGGTTCGTAAGAAATTCGTTAACCGAATTTTTGTTCGTTAACCGAATTGAAGATCCTTATGGAAGGCAGTTCGTTAACCGAAATTTCGTTAACCGAGGTGTTCGTTAAACGAGGGGTCACTGTATATATATATATATATATATATATATATATATATATATATATATATATATATATATATATATATATATATATATATATATAGATAGATAGATAGATAGATAGATAGATAGATAGATAGATATATACTATATAGATAGATATATATATATACTATATAGATAGATAGATATATACTATATAGATAGATATATATATATACTATATAGATAGATATATATATACTATATAGATAGATATATATATATACTATATAGATAGATATATATATACTATATAGATAGATAGATATATATATATACTATATAGATATATATATATATATATATATATATATATATATATATATATATATATATATATATATATATATATATATATATATATATATATATATATATATATATATATATATATATATATATATATATATATATATATATATATATATATATATATATATATATATATATATACTGTATATTGAAGTGATGTGGTGGTAAAAGTGGGTCTGGGGCGCCACAGTATTAGTTGTGGAAAGCATCCCAATTTTTTTACATTTTTGTAGATGTTCCATTTATGTGATTTTGCCTTTGCAAACTTTGAGGTTAGAAATTTCTGAAAAAAGCTGAATTATAATAAATTACGAATTATGGAGTTACAAAATATGGAGGCTTTAAACTGTACTTTATTTCATTAATTATTTGAATGTTTATAAGAGTTATTTACTGTTTACAAACAATCCACTTTGGATAAGACTGCTGGTTGGGAATGAGCATCACCCTCATTAAACTAATATTTTTTTTATTTCAGAGGTTCGTAATGCAGCCCTTGACTCTATATGTGCTCTAGCTCTTAACAATGAGCAGTTCGCAAATCACTCACTTGATTTCCTCGTTGATATGTTTAATGATGAAATTGAGGAAGTTCGTCTGAAAGCCATACAGGTATGAATTTAATTGTTCATAGCAGAAAATTTACATACAGGTATTGTTCTTTTTTAACTGGGTGCATATTTTGTCTTATAATCATTGCCTTTTAAATTTTCTGCAAATTTCTGTGTTTCTAAGTACTATACTAGTATACAGTAACACCTTTCTGAGGCACTACATTTGATGTGTGGGGTATTACAGCTACATGAGGTTTTGCAGCTAAGTGGTTCTATAAACGACCATTGGGACTGAGCATATATGTACAGCCAGAAGCCCTAAAGGCTCCCAGAGTTCATCTAGAAACATAATGATTTTTTTTTTTTACTGGATGCCATAGGGATACCATTTCACATGATGGTATCCTAAAATAGGGTGAAAAGGGAGTAGCTTTTGTTAGCAAGCATAAATGTATATACTGTACTGTAACCCTCTTATTTATTTGATATAAGCTAGGAAGATATTGGAAGCATAATGTGTTGTTTAATGGTAGACCCTGCTGCCATATGGCATCAAAAAATTTTTGACCAAATCCCAGGTTGCTGATATGACTGACATTCTGCCACATTTACACACAATTGCAGGGTCTCAATTATTTCTCTTTCTTTGACAACACAATAAAAACTGTATATTGTTTCTTACTTTACATACAACCTCTGACAATTAAGTTCGCGAACTTGCCGTGTGGCTCAACAGACGGCAGCACTGTAACGAGTGTGAGTGATCGTGCATGTGACCTTGATCCCTTCTCTTACTACCTCAGTTGTATTAGAGTGTTTTCTGGTTTGGTTGCAATAATGACAGATATTGTTTTAGAACAAGGAACGAACATCAAGTTTCTCGTGAAACTTGGGAAAACTGGGCATGAAATTTGGGACATGTTTATAGGGATAATGCACTAAAGAAAACATCAGTTTACAAGTGGATAAAGCGATTTTCTGAGGGAAGAGAAGACGTGACAGAGAAGGACGACCAACAACGAACAGGACTGAGGAAAACTCAAAGAATTTGTTCCTCCGGGGCAGGGTGTGAACCAGTTTTACTATCTCGACGTGCTTAAAAGACTCGGGGAAAAAAGGTTAGACGAAAACAACCAGAACTTTTCGCTGGAAACAAGTGGATATTGCATCGTGACAATGCCCCAGCGCACACAGCATTGAATGTGCGGGAGTTTTTGGCCGAGAAACAAATTACCTTAGTGGAACACCTTCCTAGTTCACCTGATCTGGCCCCGTGACTTTTTCTATTTCATTTGCTGAAGAAACACATCAAGGAGGTGCATTTTCAAGATGTGGATGACATTCAGAGTAGCACAACGGCAGCTATAAAGCTATTCCAGAAAGTGTGTTCCAGAAATGTTTCCAGGGGTGGAACAAATGCTGGCATTCGTGTATAGCGTCGCAAGGAGAATACTTTGAAGAGGGCCACAGCGCTCATCCTCGGTAAGGTATGTACCGGCACCTGTAGCATGAGTTCGGTAACTTAATTGTCAGACATAAATATTTCTTTAAATGTACATAAAAACTAACAAAGTAAAATAATACAGGAATAAATAAATATAATTCCGAGCTGAGCTGATGAGGCGAAGGGTGAGGTGATGAGGCATTAGGTGAGGTACTTGCCAAGACACTTACACAGCACTGCTAAACCATTAAACAGCACAAACATTAACAGCACTACTAAACCATTGTCTTATAACATTTTAATTTGTAATTTCTATTTTAAATTTAATTGGTACACGATGGTCGATTTGGCTACTTTTGCACTTAGACAACTGATTAATGAATAAACCAGGGCATATGGAGATGCATTATACACGTCACTAATATTTATTAAGTTCTGAAAAATAAGCTACAATATTACTACTACGTATATCACGGCCTATAAGGCGGCGGGGTGCATAAGACGCCCCCCCCAATTTTCCATTTAAAAAGTAGCTTTTGAGCTCTATTTGCTGTATAAGACCAGTACCCCAAATGTGACACTTAACCACGGACTCAGTAGTCCTTTACCAACCATCCTTGATTTTTTAAAATAAGGCCAATTCACTTCAAGTAATGTCATCAAATTATACCCGCTGGTGTAGTGTAAACACTAGTGACGTCACTGAAGCGTCTGCTATTTACCGATAACTGGAACTAATGTCGGTATCGAGTAAAATTTTTCCATTTACTTGAAATGGATTTACCGATTTATTTGTTTACTTATTTATTTATTTATAATATACTGTAACATATTAAACACACTGCAAGTATTTTCTTTCATTTATACGCTTGCTTCACACGAGACGATCGGTGGTGGGAGTGTTCCCTCGTCTCGGTGGTGTGGCTGTGTTCCGACTATTTATACAACATGTAGTTCAACAGCAACCACCGTATTCTAATTGTGGTGTTTCATTAGGATTTGAGTGAAAAAGGTTACCAGTATGTACTTACTACATACATTTATTACACAAATATATATATATATATATATATATATATATATATATATATATATATATATATATATATATATATATATATATATATATATATATATATATATATATATATATATATATATATATACAAAAAATGAATGTTCAATGAATTATTTATGGTGCATTAGGGTACTGGTCACTTCTGATGGGCTATAAATAGCCTTCTTTATCTCCCCTACATCTCACCCTGAGCCAGACGGAAGGGTCTTGGTAAATAACATGTTTGCTTATTTTCCATTTACTTTAAATAGATTTACCGAATTATTTGTTTTATTTATTTATTTATAATATACTGTAATATATTAAACACACTGTAATTATTTTCTTTAATTTATAAACTGTTTTGCGACAAAGGAATGTTCTCCAGTAGTGTTTCATTAGGATTTGAGTGAAAAAATATTACGTACTTACTACATACATTTATTACACAAACATATTTATATATACTGTATGTATACATACATACACATGCACACATTTAATTTACTAAGTCACAATATTTTAAAAGCAAATTACCCGACAAGTTAAAAATGTTATTAGCACATGATTATTACTGACGTCATCATGTATTAAAAACCTTCAAAATCCACATCATCAACATCTGACATCATAAGTTCTTCAAGTACATCCTGAGATACATTTATGGCTGCTTCATCATAAGGATCAAATTCCAAATCAGATGACGTGGCTTCGGCTTCTGTTTCATCCTCGTCCTCCCACAACATGTCATCCTCCATGCCATCCATTGAATTAGATATTCCGCACTTTTTAAAAGACTTGATAACTGTCTCCACATTAATATCATTCCATGCCTTGATAACAAAATCACATAGTACATCCAGTTCGGGAGCACGCATATTCCCACCTTTCGTGTAAGACTTTTTGCCGCTGTTCATCCATTTGTTCCATTGTTCACGAACGCGGTCCTTGAATGGTTTGTTTAGACAAACATCAAGTGGTTGTAAAACTGAAGTTAATCCACCAGGAATAACTGCAATGTCACTGTTGTTCCTCGCCATGTTGGTTTTTGTTCCCTCTGTTAAATGACTCGCGAACATATCCCATACTAACAGGCTACGCTGTTTTCGAAAGCCACCAGGTCGCCTACACCATATATGATCAATCCATAACTTTATTCCTTGTTCGTCCATCCACCCTTTCTCGTTGACGTGAACAAAAACTCCAGCCGGGAACTTGATTTTGGGCATTGTTTTCCTCTTGAGAATTAGCATTGGGTTCAACTTGGTTCCGTCTGCCATGCATGAAAGTACTACTGTAAACCGTGTCTTTTCGTGTCCTGTTGTTTTCACTAACACTGTTTTTGCACCCTTTGTATCGACAGTATGATTACCGACCATGTCGAAGTTCATAGGTGTTTCATCCATGTTCCCGATGTTGCTTAATGGATAACAATGTTTCTTACGTTGTTGTATTATGTAGCGATGGAAATTAACAATTTTACAGTTAAGATCTGCTGGTAATTTTTGTGCTATTTTTGTCTTCTGCCTCAGTACCAGATTGCTTCTTTCCATAAAACGGCTACACCATGAAGTCGTGGCTTTGAAGTCTTTGCTGTGCTCTTGATTTTGTTTAGCCCACTTAAGTGCCCACATACGTATCATGTTTCTTGATACAATATACCCATTTTGACGCTGCTCATGGACCATGTCTACTGCGTGCTTCTCTAGAATCGGCCAGTGTGCAGTGCCTCTTCTCATTGCACATTTATTCCTGGGCATACTTCGTAGTAAGTGTTCCTTTGATCTCCAATCCCGCACCATCTTCTCAGTTACACCGTATTCTCTTGAAGCAGCACAATTGTTGTGTGACTGGGCATATGCTATCACTTTCAGCTTAAAACAAGCTTCATATCTCCTGCGTTTAACAATTGGAGCCATGGTGAGGTTTTGTGGTAGCTGGATACAGTATTAATATACCGTAGTGTTCACACGGAGAGAGTGCTATTGCTTATGGAGTGATAACTCAACAACTGGACAAGGCAAATGAGAGAAGGGGTCACCTTACACATGACCTGACGTGGTCACCTTACACATATATGGTAATCATTAAGAATCAAACTCCGAATCAGATGACCTGCCTTCTTCTTCATCATTGTCATGCTAAATTTACCACTGTCGGTAGTTAAAAGAATTAAAAGTCATTTATTGAATATTCTATGTAAAAAAATAAATGTTAAATTAATTATTTATAGGAGAAACGTATTATGATCAATAAATATATGGTATTACTGGCCACTTCAGACACAAAGACGGGATAAAAATAGCCCATCTCCCCCTCTTACAGCTGCCAATGGGAAGCGTGTTGGTAATTAAATTTGATGTTTATTTTCAGTTTGTCTAATTTATCATGTATCAAATTAATATTACTAGAAATTGTGTAGGTAGTAGGCAGCTACCAAACAGGGAGGTACTACTGCCTGGGAAGATATTGGAAGCATAATGTGTTGTCTAATAGTAGACCCTGCTGCCATATGGCATCACGAAAATTGTGACCAAGTCCCAGGTTGCTGACCTGACTTTCTGCCTCATTTACACAATTGCAGGGTCTCAATTGTTTCTCTTACTTTGACAACACAACATACATACAGTATATTATTTCTCAGTTTTGATCTTTTTTTTTAATTTTTGTAACTATAAAGTTAGTTACTTAAAATAAGGCCAATTCACTTCAAGTAATGGCATCAAATATTACCAGCTGGTGTAGTGTAAACACTAGTGACGTCACTTGAGCGTCTGTAATTAACCGTCGATAGTTTCAAGAATTAATGCACTCAGAGGGTCATTTACTGAATATTCTTTGTAAAAAAATAAAATCTAAATCAATTATTTATAGGAGATAAATATTATTATGAGTAAATATACCGATACCGGTATGCATTACTGACCACCTCCACGGCTAAAAATAGCCCAATCTCGTGGTCACTTTCCCTTTCTTGTCTCCTCACTGGCAAATGGGGGGGGGGGGCGTGGGGAGGGGTGTGTGATGATAGCTGTGTTTATTACAGGGGTATAAATCTCTTTTACGGTATGTTAGACAGGTTTATAATACATTTTTATTATTTTAATATACCGGTAATCTTAATTTGAATCCAGCTTGCCAAACGTAAGTTTCAGTATAAAATAATTAGTGGTAAGACCTTGTGAGTGGCTTACGATGTTTTCATCACCACTCTTGACACACTAAACCACAATATTTAAGAGGTAAGAATTTTAAACTTGGTGGTTTAGACGACCCCCTAACTTTGGGCAGATTTTTTTAATGTTCAAATTTCGTCTTATAGGCCGTGATATACGGTAAGTGCTTAAAGACAGATCCTGTTGTAAGCACCATTTTCTTGAGCAGTGACAACAAGGGTGATTGAGAGACGGTGAGTGCTGGTTACATTATTAGGGAGAGCGAAGTCAGTTCTTACCTCTTTGTAAACAAGAGACTGAGAATATCGGTACAGTACTACAGAGTAATCGCTCATCAGAGTTTGAGTGAGAATTTGGGGAAAAATTATAAAAAAAATTATAATGTTTTATTAACCCCTGCATGGATTCCATAAAGTAAACCTAGATATCTCCCCTTGGTTACCAAAAAGGTAATTTCATTTTTTTGCTGGAAAAACTAGATAATGATGTCTAAAATCATGTGAAATGGTTAGAAAGTGGTAACTCGAGTCACATGTTGGCTGAATCATAGAAATTATTGTCTAGCATCTCTGTTTCTGTGGAAACCAGCCCCAGTGTTTTAATTCCAACGTTATCATGATCTCTGCATGACTTGGGAGACATATCACTCAGAATTTATTTTATATCAGTATTTTGTTATTTCCACTTTTTTTTTTTTTTTTTACTAGAATTATGATTATATAATAAAGTACTGGACAGGTAGGTGAATAGAAAAATGGAATTCAAACATAATTTTTATTTTATTTACATACATGTGGCAATTCTAAATGGAATGCAACTTAGAGAGAGGCCTATGCTCCACGGCAAACATGCTGCCGTGAGTTACAGACATCACTTACATAAAAAAACTTACATTTACTTAATTCTACATTTATTTTACTATTTATTGTACTCAAATATGAAGATATTATTCACCGAGGCACTTTTTAGGAGTCGATATAGAACATATGCTGTCGGATAAGGCACAAATTTATACGGTACAGTTTTACCACCAATATGCTGTCACAATGCCACCACCACATCATGTTGTGCTAATAACCTAAAGTAATGAAAAATTATATACTGTATACGTATTTATACTATTTACGAAAGTGTATCCTGTGTTTTAGTACTTTTGAAGGGTGTGGTATTGTTGGAAGCATGGATTCGGGCACGGAGCAACATCACACTGTGTACACTGATGGGAGTGTCTTTGCGTACTTTGGCATGGATTTCACTCGTAAGGTTCACGCAACATTTTTTCTGGGAATGTTGCTTTGCCCCAGTGGTAGGAAACACTGAAGGGAAGTGTCGAGCAATTGGTCACAAATGGAGTTCACCGCCAGCTGCGCGACGACCTCCAGGTCTCTGATGAGGTACTGCATTGGTCTCCAAAAGCTGCCTTACCACATTCAATGAAAACTCATGGAGTGTAGGTTTTTACCTGTCTTCACAAGATAAAGATTGTGCACGTTCAGAAGGGACATGTCCAAAAGATGGAAGAATAGTTTTTTACCATTTCATAGTCTTACTTACACAATCTATACTGGAGATCATTCTGTCAGACTTGTTCAACCAGACGCATGTTGGAGGTGTAGTCGAGGACACAGTGTGACTTGTATAGCTTCATCCTGGTCTTGGGGTCAACGTTGTGGGTGATGGAGTGATGCATTTGGTGATGGAGTTGTGAGTTTGGTGTCAGGGTCACCAACATCACTCTCACTCTCTTTGTCATTATGTGGGTAATCAGGGTCATTGACATCATCAGAATCACTCAAATCACTGTCTGCTCCTAATGGCTCCTCAGCATCACTAGGATCATCCTCATCAAAGAAAATACAATTTATTTTGGCATCACCGATAGCACGAAGTGACAACATCCTTACAGAGTGGGACAGGCAAGGGTACTGGTACTGGCATGTTGCCATGAAACTCGAGGCCTAGTGATGTGATTGCCTGTCGGGGTGTATGCCAGACAACTCAAGATGTTTATTTATAGCTCTCGGGTCCATAGAGATTAGCGGGAAGTTAAAATTTTCAAGGACATTGATATACGCCCTAGACCTGGGTGTCCCTTTCCTTAATGGACGTTAATCTACCCCCCAAACCACGTAGGGGTTAACCTGGCTCCAAATGGACCTTAATAATATGGGAATTATGGTGAATTGCATACTGTTGTTATTAAAGGATTGTGGGCTGCTGAGCTGGAGATGGTGAGTTGTCTTCCCTCCTTCCTCCCCACCTCCTCTCCCCAGCTATACACCAAACGTAGTTTTGTACAGTATCTTGATATAATTCATATTCTATTCCCATAATTAATTCGTCGGTAATTTAGGAGGAAACCGCTACCACCAGAAGGAGTTGTTCGATTTCACTAATTTCATCTCAGATGTTCTTATCATTATATAAATTATATAACACTTTTAACATAACATTACATAACATTTTAAAATACAGTATGGAGTAAGGAGAGTGGTGCTGGTGGTGGTGGAGGAGGGGGGGAACTGAATGCTCACCCCCAAAAAAGTTCATCTCCCACTCCCGCCTCTGTCATTTCTACTATAAATCGAAGACACAATATTGTTTATTTGTTATTTATTAATTAGTAAAGATATGTTACTACAGGTGGCCTATCAAAAATTCGGCAACCTCGGGACCTGAGGAGTGCCGGATTTTCGAAAATGCCTGAAAACTGATGGTTATATTTGCTGTATAAGTTTAACAGAAAATGACTACATATATGTGATGGTTTCTGGGGTAGATAAATCAGATCTCTAAAATTACCTATTTTCCAATAGCATCTTGGTCAAACATTTTAGATTCCCGATGCTCGATTGTATAGTATAAATATTTGATCGGTAGCCACAAAGTGCCACAAATAAGCCGCAATCTTAAATTCAGCATTTGATAAGTTTGTCTCTCATATTGTCAGCAGATTTTTCACAAGGCTATTTTTTCATGCAGGTCTTGCAGCAGGTTGCTCACCATATCACTCTTCGAGCCGATCAGCTGGAAGAGATACTCCATGCCTTGAAAGATATGTCATTAGATATTCGTGAGTGTCTTCACACCTTCTTAGGCACCACTATTCTCTCAACTATATCTTGTGTCAAGTTGTGTGTCACAGGTCTTCTTGATAATCTCCGCAGATATCAACAGGTGAGTTATTATTCTTAAAAGTTTGCCAAATTAATATTATCATATCCTTTATCCTAATTCCTATTAACAACAATCACTTCACTCCAAATACTTTCCCCAGTTACAAATGTAGGGAACATTTTATATTATGTAAAATACTGTACAGTATGGGGAAAATTTGATTCAGGTTGAACCTCTCCAATTGGGCACCCTCGGGGTCAGACCAGAGCTGGACTAGAGAATTATCCCAACCATGGGTGGTCAGTATATTATACATTAATATCCCCTGTAACCAGAATTAAAATTTTCTTTGAATATCGTTCCCAAAGCCGGAATTTTCCAGAAAATTCCGGCTTTGGGAACGATTTTCCGAGGGGCACATTTACCGTAAAATTCCGAGCAAATTTTCCCGCTACCCAGAAAATTCTTGGGATGGGGGAGTTTTCTTTCGGGTTTGAGAGATGAAAATCGGGCACCTTTTCTGGAAATTCCGAGTCGTTACCCAGAAATCTCTCATTCCCAGAATTTTCTGAGTTACGGAAAAATTTTCTCAAAATTTTCCGAAAAATGTGCCCCTTGGAAACTCATTCTCAAAGGAGGATTTTTTTTTTAATTCTAGCTTTTTGAACGATTTTCAAGAAAATTTCAATTCTGGCTGTAGGAGTTCTAGGTTTGAGGGATTCCGTCTAATGGAGATATTTCTGTAAATACAGGGGATCCCCGACTTATGAACGCCCGCCGATACGAACGAGGTTAAATTTTAAATTTATAGTATTTTATTTACCTGATAACTTATTTTTTTTTACTTTCATTTACTGTACAGTATTTTGTTATTCTATTTCTTCTTTTGTCTTAAATTAAGTTATTTTAGATGTATAGAAGGACTTAGGCTATGATATAGTGGGATTTTAAACATTTTCCTGTATGTACGGTATGCACATAGCATGTGTTCGGACTTATGTACATTTTCGACTTGAGAACGTCCTCAGGAATGGAACCCATTCATAACATTAACCCTTTCATGTAGACCAGTGGCTCTGATGGTTTTAAAAAATGGGTAAAATTTTGAAGTTTTCTTATGAGAAGGGCAAGTTTTGCTACAGAATGCACTGGTGTAATCAGATTTCCAGTACACCTGACAAGAGCCACAAACAATTGGTGGGAAGATACCATGTACGTGACCAGGTTTGGACTAGCTTTTATTGTGGATTCATTATTAGTCTCGTATGATCAGCCTCATATGGTGTACGACTCATTGTAAAAAATAGAAAAAATATATTACAGTGAGACCTCCATATAACATGTAATTCGTTAGATGGAGGTTTTCACATCTAATGGACCCTCAACAGAATGGACTTTCATATCTATATAATTCATTAGATGGGGGTTTCACTTACAGTATAGTGGACCATTGGTAAAATGGATTTTCCTCTCCATTTAGTCCTTTAACTATTTAATTTGACCTGAGAATAATAGGTTAAGCTGTATCAGGAGATTTCTCATACCTCACCCCCTCATCCTCTCTCTCCATCCTGCAATGTTTCAGGCTAATGAAAAATTTTAATATCATCGAAACTATTTATTATGATGAGAAATATAAATTAAAGGCATCAAGATAAAAATAATCATATAGATTTCTATTGTTTTTATTTTATAATAATGGAGACTGAGACTTTATAGGGCTGGGCTTACAAGGAATATGGATTTAAATCATGACAATGCTGCTGGTACCTATTCCTGTCCATGTACTTCCCAACACAGGTGTTCTCATATGGTCATGCTGTATGTCTTTCAGTAATCTTAAAGAACAGGTTAATGGACATGGGACATCAACATGATAGGGGTGAAAACGAACAAAATTTCATTCATGATGGTGTCATACCATCATTTTCCCATGATAATTTTGCAGTCCAAATCATTGCCACTACTGCAATCTCCTGCACTACAAACACCTCCTACACATGTTGGTGATGCATTCCTATCTGGTATATGTACCACACTTGTACCTCACTTTCCTCTTGGTATGTGGTCTCTAAGCACATCTTTTATGATGATGTTTGCTGAAACTCACACACAAGTTATCATTTCTAAGTTTACTGAGTGAATCTACCAGTTCCTAAGTCTCACCCTCATGCTCTGATTTCCATTATATATTTTACTTATTTTTCTGGGTGTGAAAGTAGCACTACTGCAGTGAGGGGTCTTTTCTCCAGACATGTTACTGGAATTGCTACTGGTGGAGGGAAGGATCAATGTGGGGAAGGAAAAGATGCCAGGAGTTGAAATAAACCACTTGAACAGAAATCAGGTGCAATCTGATATGGATTTTACAGTAAATTTTCAAAGTTCCAGCCCACTTCCTGAATGAAGGCTTCAGCCCGTCATAAAAGTGATTATCGTATACACGTTCAAAGACTCCAGGGGTGTTGTGAATGCTTGTGACATTGTCTTAAACTCGTTGCCACAATTCCTCACGCTTTTAACATGACCCCATAAGTACAAGTCAAGGGGATTTAGATTGAGCGATCATCTAGTAAGAAAATGTGACACCAAGTGCAAGTATTTGTAACACCATTGGAGTCCTCGAACATGACTGACATTCATTTTTGCGATAGGCTGAACCCTACATACAAGAAGAGTGCCAGAACTTTGGACTGACTATAAAATCTCTATTAGATTGCATATGATTGTAAATAAATTGTACGTACTTGCAACACTAGATTATTTCATTTGTACTCCATAAATTTTATCACATCCAACCTTAACTGTCATGTGTTATAACTCCAAAATTATGGGATATTGACACTATGGTCATGATGTCAGTCATCCTTATGTATACCTCAGGAATACACCCCCAGAATTATGAAACGTATTTCCGAAACACCCTATAGATATTCTCTGGTAGGTTAAGAGTGCAGCTATCATGGCATTGCACCTTATACTGTATGGCAGGAAATATGGTATGCCACTGAAATTCTGCCCAAGAAAATTTATCTCCAGAGAGGGAACATAGATTAAGCCTTTATGTTTATTGAGGTTTATAGACATTGCACAGTGTAAATGTTCTGTGCTGTACAATATTCTATTTTTTTTTAAGGAGTGTTATGCAGTGTTAAATCTGGCAAGAAAATAATGATAACAGGTATTCAAATTACAGTAAGTCACCAATAGGAAATAATATTTTTTCGAATAATGTTTCACTAGTGTGTATTTAAATTTTTAGGACCGACGCAGTATTCATCGTTGTTTACGTCGCCTAGGATCAAACCATCCCATCTTAGTACAGGCTTTAGTACCACAACTACTTGTCATCCATCCTTACTTTGATGGTGTTGAGCCCAGCGTGCAGGACGGTGAATATATTTGTAAGGTAAATATTCACCTCTTATGTTTGGTTTCTATAATGGTGTCACTAATTTTGTTTAATTTATTATAAATGAATACCGTGGTCCCTCCATTAACAAGCGGTTCAATTTACAAGATTTCGGTTAACGAATTAGCTCCCATAAGGATTTTCAGTTCTATTAACAAGTACAACTTCTATTAACGACAGCCTTACGAGAAACATGCCTTGGTGTGAGCATCAGCTGATCGGCTAGTCTGCCAATACAGTAATCGGTTCTATGTTTACATTTGTTTCCAGTGAAGTAAATATCAAGAAAGTTATGTTCTTGAATATTTTTGCATTTTTACTTTAAAATTAATTATTGGTCATTCTGAAATTTAGTTAATTTGTTGATACAGTAATATACAGTGTAGAAATTATTATGAAACACGAAGAAGGCATTAGAACCAATGCACTCTTTAAAGAATATGACATGTCATCATCAACTGCCTCGACAATCGGCTGTTTGCTATGTAAACAAAGCTGCCGGGAATACGATATACACACCTCAAAGTAAGTTAAAATACAGTATTCTATTATTTTTTATTTTTTATTGTACAGTATACTGTACAGTACAGTACTGTATTTAGTTTATATTTAATGTCTTGTTAATTCTATTCCCGGTATACAGTACTTTGAATGTAATTTTTCTGTGAGTTAGAACCAATTACCCAATATCCCATTGAAATAATAGATTCAGTTAATGACTGACTCTGTGGAACCAATTGTGCGCATTAATTGAGGGACCACTGTACATGATATTGTAAATCCACATTTTATGACTATTTATTTTCAGGAATCAAATAAGAAATTAATAGTTGGTGGCTGTTGGTACAAACATATGTCCTCGAGCTGATGGACCAAAGTATTTTCATGTGATAGGAAATGATAAATGAATGTTAAGAGCTGTATTTAGTGGAGATTTTGTTGGAACTATGAGAAATTCATCTCAATTGACTTAACCAGTGTTTTTTTTGGTTCTGTAATTAATTTAATAATCCCATGTAATTACACAATGATCGGGTCATTTCACATGGACAAGTTAGTGTGCCGTGGTGTCTCAGTTTCCTCAACCAGAGATACATGTAGTGATCAAGGGCGGGGAACCAGACTCAGCTTATCATGAGATTTTATGGATGATAACAAGAGAGGTTAGATTAAATAAGATTGATGTAGCTGGTTATTTTTAGGTAATATAAAAAATATTCGGTACCAGATGTACCATGCATACAATGCTGGTGTATAGTTCAAATTTTTATGATAAAATTTGTATGCAAAAAGTAGGGGGTTGAACTTTACACACAATACTTTTTTAAGGGGTTAAAGTTTATGTATTTTTGTAGGTCATTTACAGTGAATAATAACTACCTGGTGCATTGGTTTGAGCAAAGTGAAGGGACAGTGGTGATATAGATGTATAATGTGACTTTGAGAGATAGGAAGCCCTGTTTGGAGTTACAGTAATAGGACAATTGAGTATTGAGAGTATTGGCAAGGTTATCTGTAGAGGTAAACTGAGTTGGTTTGGGCATGTGCAGAGAATGGAGGAGACCAGTTGGGTCAAGAGATGCCTGAGATTTAATGTGGAGGGGAGGAGAGCTAGCAATATGCCAAGAATGATAAAGGGAGACATTTTGCAAAACCATCTCAGAGATACAGTAAAATCCTGAGGAAAGGCTACTGTACAAGAGACCATGCAGCTTGGAGAGCTGCCATCAGGTAATCACAACCAACTCATGCAAGTGCAGAAAATACCCATAAAATGGTAATGATGATGGTGATATGTTAAATGTGTAGGTATTATGAGTATCTTCTGAGTTGTGTAGCAAGTCTAAGAAATAAGGGCAAATTTTCACTTTGTGCTCTTACCCCAGGAACACATCATCTAGATCTATGGCTACACTAAGTTAGGTCCCCATTATATTTAGAATTAAAGAGATACATTACTATATAATTTTATATGCTTTCTTCCTCTCTGAATGGGGGAGGTAGGAATAGAATGTTTAATATTTTGCATTATGTTACCTGTGAAGTAGCCACCAGTCTCTAACCCTACAGCTTTGCCTCCAGTACATAGGTTTCCACACCTTGGCCTTAAGAAAATTTAGAATTCAGTGAAATACAGCATCATGAGCTCAATTTTTATATGACACAGTAGTACAAGGGTTCATAAGAAAGAGAAAGGATTTAACCTAAAAAAAAAACTACCTAACTGTAAAGTGATATATTGTCAAAAAAAAGTGTTCACTAGAATAGTAATTCAGCATTAATTTCCCCAGCTTATACTGGTGCTTAATGCAGCTGTGCATTGCCCTACCATTCTGCCTCTCCTGGAACAGCACACCCTTCGCCATTATGCCTATCTTCGTGATACTATGCCCCAGTTGGTGCCAGTTTTAAAGGTAAGAATTCTGTTGTATCTATTTAACTTCATTTGTAATTATTTTTCCTGAATAATTCTATACACATTATTGTTATTCTTTCTGTATATGTATCTTATGTACTGATATCTGCGAGGATGGTTCAATACAATATTTTAAACACGACAAAAAAAAAAAATAATAACCTCTGCTTCACGTTTAAGTTCTCTCACTGTCTTTCCACCTAAATTTGGTGCTTTTGATTTAATTATTTCCTCACCCTGTGAGGAAATAATTAATTAAATTAATGGTGACATCTCATCATGTGATGTGTCACTTTAGAGGTTTGGGGGACTATAAAAGTAGCTTAATTATTTAGTGGGATTTCTATTTTCTAAAGAAACAGGTTTTTAGAGGAAATGTGTTATCATCCAAGACAGAGATAACTAGATCAGGATGGTTTCCCTGAACCATCCCCCTTTGTTTGCTCTGCTTTATAGTGAAGTTCCTCCACAGCTTTCCTTCTGGCATCTCCAGCTGAATACTTATCAGTGAAGGCACTTTGCTTCCTCTGAAAATGTTTTTAGAAATTTGAGTTTTTGTTGTTGGAACAATTCCTCATTACAATTAAGACATGAAGGAAGCACTCTAAGAGTTTTGTATGACTACAAAACATTTCATCCATTTATTTTTTTATTTTCTTTATTCATCTTCTCTTTACATTCACTCTGCCAGCTTCCACATACAGTATAGTCTCGGTTTACGCGGTCAATAAACCCATGGAGGTCCGTGTAAAACGAGAAACGCGTAAACGAAATAACAGAACATATGGGATTAATTGAAATAGAGACTGGGCCGATCCCCAGACTACCCTTTTTCCAACACAATATGTACGTTGTAGTAAAAATAACATCTTAATTTTATTTTGGTATGCACACAATTAATATGTAAGAGAAATACAGTCATGCGCCGGTTAATGTCCATTCAAATAATGGGACATAGCGAACGTAAGTGGCCTTAGAGCGGGCGCAGTCACGTTTGCATCTCGTAGACATTATGTTACAGTATTTTATTAGCCTTCCTAACCTCTGTGTTTCATTAGTTGTGTACGTTATCTAGTGAATATTGTACAGTACAAGTACACTGCAATACAGTGGTCCCTCGGTTAACAAAGGACCACTTCATATATTTTCATTCATTTACATGCACACACCATACTAAAAGAAATGTAAAAGAAATAAATGACCTAAGTGCAAACCTGTACTGTACATGTACTCAATGATTACGGTACTAAAATTTTTACGTCTATTGCAAATATAGCTTGTTTATATTCAAATTAATCACTATCTTACAAGAATCCCAGCAATGTAAATTATATTCTCCCAGGTTGTTTGGGCGGCAAATTATAAGAGAAAAGCTTAGTCACTCTTAAGAATTGATAAATAAACACACGGACCTTCAGCGCCAACTGTCAAAACATATCTCCTCACCTCCCGCTCCACTCCACCCCCCCATGCTCTCCCCCATCTGCCCAGCCAGGGTTTTAGGCTTTAAGTTTTTCATATAATATCACAGACTAAAGTTAGGAGAATATAATTGGCATTAATGGAATCCTTGCAAGACAGAGAATAATTTGAATATAAACATCATATATTTTGCACAAAAGATACAATTTTTGCTCTCTCTAATAAAATTCTTAAATTAGATCTAAAATTTGTATGTCTAATGCAAATTATAGCTTGTTTATATTCAAATTAATCACTATCTTATAAGAATTCCAGCAATGTAAATTACATTCTGGCTGGGTAATTTTTATGAATTTTATGAGCTAAAAACAAAAGTCTCGAGTAAATAAACAAATTATACTTCACCAGACACTACCTGTCAATCAAAATACCTCACCTCCCGCTCCCCCCCTCTTCCCACCCTCCCTCCCTCCCTACCCCTGCCTTCCCAGACAAAAGTTTGGTGGTTTGTTAGGGTTTAAAGTGTTTATCTTATATAATATCTCAGACTAAAGTTAGGAGAATATAATTTAAATTGCTGGAATCCTTGCAAGACAGCGAATAATTTGAATATAAACATCATATATTTTGCTCAAGAGATAAAAAAATTTGTACATTAGTGTACAGTACAGTGACCCTCGTTTAACGAACGCCTCGGTTAACGAAATTTCGGTTAACGAACTGCCTTCCATAAGGATCTTCAATTCGGTTAACGAACAAAAATTCGGTTAACGAATTTCTTACGAACCGACCTCAACATGTTTTCGCTTGCACTGGCCGGGCAACCAGCTTTAGTATCAGTCCACCAATACATTAATCGGTTCTAGGGCTTAAATTCCTAACTATTTTAGTAAATATCAAGAAGTTTATACTATTCAATAATTTTAAAAGTTTAATATTCAATTTTTTAGTCATTTTAACAATTATTGAACATAATTGAAGGTAAAGTGACTAGTTTAATGCGCAGCATCCAGCCTCTTAACACAGCAAACAGGCGTTAGTCTCTCTGTTTTCACTGGAGGTAACATCTTGCTTGAGACTCTCTTCAACTAAACGCTTTTTTTCTGTGTTTCCAAGCAAATTATTGGTCATTTTGAAATATATTTTACATATTGACAATATATAATGCAGTACAGTGTTGATTTAAAGAAAATAATCTTGAAATACACCAAGAGAACTAAAATTTTATGGGTGAAATGGTGCCATGGGGTGACTTCTCTTCCACCCCAATGCCTTCTCTTCTTCCTTCTCCTCCACCCCCATTGTAATTCCCATCATCATCATCATCATCATCAGGAGCCTTCTACATACACACCTCAAAGTAAGTGAAATTTTCTACCATTTTTGTTGAATTTAGGAAATTTTCGGTGAGCTGGAACCAATTACCCAAAAACCCATTGAAACAATGGTTTCGGTTAACGAACTTTTCGGTTAACGAACGACCTTCTAACGGATTGAGTTAGTTAACGGTCACTATTACTGTAGTACATTTTATAATATAAAGTTTTTCAACTATATTTTTGGGTAGATTTACATAAATTTCTTCATTTATTTTCATCCATTTACATGCACACACCATACTAAAAGAAACGTAAAAGAAATAAATGACCTTAGTGCAAAGCTGTAGTGTACATGTACTAAATTGATTACGGTACTAAAATTGTTACTTCTAGTGCAAATTATAGCTTGTTTATATTCAAATTAATCACTATCTTACAAGAATCCCAGCAATGTAAATTATATTCACCCAGGTCATTTCACTGGCTTTTTATAAGAGAGAAGCTTAGTCACTTAAGGATTGATAAATAAACACGAGTCAGACCTTGGGCGCCAACTGTCAAATGTACCACCTCATCTCCCTCCCTCCCCCCCACGCTCTCTCGCTCGCTCCCTCCCTCTCCCCCGTCTGCCCAGCCAGGGTTTTAGGCTTACAGTTTTTATCTTATATAATATCACAGACTAAAGTTAGGAGAATATAATTTGAATTGCTGGAATCCTTGTAGGACAGCGAATAATTTGAATATAAACGTCATATATTTTGCACAATAGATAAAAATTAATCACCTGTATCACATTACAGTAGTGATTTGAGAGTAAAAGTGTATATGTACGTATATAGTATTCCACATACACGTAAGTATAAATACAAAGTTTATGTGATGATCGGACAACGTCCATTTCGGTTAACACTTACGTTAGTAGAAGAGATGGCTAGGCACACGGGGATGGGGGGTTGGTTCCAGGCAGAGGGCAGATTATTAACCCTCATCTGTATCACTATCCACCACAGAGGATTGCAGGGCCTCTTTGTCAAACCCCACAAAGTCCATATCCTCACTATCACTGACTTGGGCTGACTGTGGTGGGTGGTAATGTTTTGTTGACTGGGCGACCTAGCGCGCACCCTGTCCGCGCCACTTCCCGCGTAAATGATGGAATGTACCGCGTAACTAATAACTGCCAGTCTGGCCAGGTGCCGCGTAAAGGAAATCCGCGTAAATCGAGACTATACTGTATTTAATTAATTGGCGGTGATTTATAAATTTTTGATCAGGTGCCAGAAGGTGCACGACTCTCCTGAAAGATCCGCAGTTTGCCGACCTCTGTGCTTCACCATATCCTCTAATAAACATCACACATCTCAACACTAATCACCATTCTTTGCCACCAATTTATGTATTAAATATAGAAAAATAATCAGCTGTCTTCCAAAATTCTTTATTTAGTATAAAAGTAAATGTTAAATATGGAGCAACTTATTTACTCTATATCATAATTTTGCAGCTTGGAGAAGAATGGCAGCCAAAAGGAGAAGCTGTCCCCACAAATACACTTCGATTTCTCAAAGAATCCATGGAAAAGGTTGCACATGTGGACCGATCCTCTACACAGCTTCGCTTGACTGTTTATCAGACGGTCCACTCTGACTTAGTCAAGCTTGCAAATATTGATCCAGCACTGTCACCAGCTGCTAACTTTGCTGCCTTATACACGCAATGTATGTTGTTATTCAGCAAGATACTGTCAACAAGAAATTGGCTCACACCATCCTCACTCTCAATGCAGCAGAGTGGGGCCCTTAAGAGTAATGTTGATCAACTATTAAAGAACACCTTTCGACTGCGCCACGCATTCACAAACTTAAGTCCTGTTGAAGAGGCTAGTATCAGAAATCTTCGAGTGCGTACTTTAGCCCTTCAGTTAGTATACGTGGTACATGGCTCGACTGGCTCAGCTTTAGGTCTATGTGATAATTTCCTTGAACACACTGAAGCCCTTCATAGGTATCTTACTGATGAAAAATTGAGTGCAGATTCTTTTCTGGAAGCAGTGTTTGAAGAGCTAAGCCAGTTGGAAGAGCCTCGTCCTGGAGCAGTTGCTCGCATTCTGCAACCACTTCTTCTTACCCATCCAGTTCATGCTTTAGCCCCTGTACTTAACCCTGCCCAGGTTTGCATGTGTTCTGCAGAAATTATTGAACCTCAACCAGACAGTGAAGCAATTCATAAATTGAGTGCAGGATTGGTGGTTGGGGTACCTCTTGATGCTGAAATATCTCACATCCCAGATCCCTCTACATTACGCATACGTGTGGCCTACCCAGATCACTCCACTCACCTTGTAGTTCCTCCAAAAAGTCATCTTCGTTTAGTAAGTCCTGGCACATATAGACTTCTGACTACAGTATTAGTGTCTGCACAAGTTTCCTGGTCAGAGGCTTGTCAGGTAGGACTGTCATTAGTGTTGGACCTCAGTGACCAAGAGGTCCTGGCTGCCAGGAGACATTCTGTTGTTAAAGCTGATGACTCGGCTACCATTATACAACTTGTCAAACCAGTGAAGGTTCTTGTCTGGCCTAAAGCTATTAGAAAAGGAATCTAAGTGTTTCTTCTGTGCAGTTGAAAATGCTTTGTAGTTAGTAATGTTCTATTTAATTAAATTATTTTATGTTTGATAAATCATTTAATTATAATATGAAACATAAACAATGAAACACCACAAGTTTATTGACTGAGGATTTACAAATTGGCGCAGATCATGTTGATTCCACCAAATCACACACGTGCCATTTTGCCAGAAAATTGTGATTGTTGGTTTCTAATGTATATATTGTATATGTATATTTTTTTAATAAAAAACAATTTTAAGTTAACATTTGCTCTCATAATTTTTATGTAAATTTGGAGTACATGTACAAGCACTTTTTTTAAAGTATAAAACATTACAATAATATTGTTTTTTATTCTTTCTTGGTAAAAAAAATTGAAGATGTATCTTTGTAGTCAGATAAGTTTGAAAGATGAAGCATTAGATGGATTTCTTTAACATTTTAGATGTGACAAACCTGAGAGTGGTCCTCAGTGAAGGCTAGTGCAGGCTACCAAGATTTCGGCATCAGATTTTTAATTGCACTCCAAGTGATGCATTTATAGACTGTCTCATAGGCCTTTAGGTACCCCTACACCAGCCCTGCATTCCAAGTCATGCCGCAGTACACATGCAGTCATCATGGAGGAAGTACATTTGTCTCCTTCTCCTAGTGACCCACTTTGTGCAGTTCAGGAGATGCTCGAATAAAATTTAGTGCCAAGAAAAGACATGTAATTCTTTACTGAAAGAGAAAGTGTTAGTGACTATGCCTGCCATCTCATCTCATGTTTACACCCTCCACTGTACTGTACTGTCTGCCCGAGTCACCGCTAAGACTACCTTCAGCTCTTCACCATGGCTAAACCAAACAAGATAAATTATATATATTTTGTTTCCCGTTAGCATGCATTCATACTGTACCTTCATTTTTTATAAGATGCTAGTATGTTTTATCTTTAAGATTTTTTCTTCTTAAGCTGTACATATGGTCTGAGCCACCACAAAGATGGCATTCAATTCTTCATCACGGCAAAGTTACGTTATTTTTTATTTATGTTCCCATTAACCTCCGTTCAAATCTTTATTTTTTGTGAGACGACAATACCGTATGTATTTTAAGTACAGTATAGTCTGGATTTACGCGGTCAATTGAACCCGTGGAGGTCCACATAAAACGAGAAACGCGTAAATGTAATAACAGAACATATGGGATTAATTGAAATAGAGACTGGGCCGACCCCCAAACCACTTTTTCCGACACAATACGTACGTTGTAGTAAAAATATCATCTTAATTTTATGATGGTATGCACACACAATTAATAATTAAGAGAAATATCAATAATATTAGGTTTTTTAACACTTACGTTAGTAGAATAGCTGGGTCGGCACACGGGGATGGCGGCTGGTTCTGAGGCAGAGAGCAGATTAGTTGCCCTCCGGTGAATCACTCACTACTCGCAGAGGTTTGCAGGGCCTCCCAGACAAACCCCTCAAAGTCCATATCCTCACTATCACTGACTTGGGCTGGCTGTGGTTGTGGTGGGTTGCGGGCGAGGAAGTCCTCAATACTACGTTGACAACTAGCATTGATGTTGTCGAGATAGATCTGGATATACGGCTCCATAACGTTCGACAGAAGGTTATTAGACACTTCATACCGATGCTTGTCTGGGTCGTTGTTAAGGATGAGCTTAATTTTCTCCCCCAACTCGATGATTTCTTTCACATTATCATGGCTTGGTCCAGGTTCAAGGTTTTTCTGGGGTGGTGGGGGTCCAGCGGAGGCCATTGTGAGGGGAATAGCGGGCACGAGAGAGAACTGTATACGCGGAGAACTGAGAACAATGAGACAGGCTTGGCTAGGTCAGCGACTTCTACCGTCTGGTGGCAGGGGACGTCATGGTACATTAGACCAATCACAGCTAGCGGTGGAGGGAATGCGTGGGTGGTAAGGATGCGTGGCCCAATCACAGTCCGATATGTCATATGACGTCAGTGATAACGTAAGAGCGGCCTAATGTGCACCACGCCGCTTCCCGCGTATGGACAAGAATGGACTGCGAGTAAAAAATGGCGCAGCGGTCTGGACCTCTCCAGCCGCTCGCCGCGTAAATGATGAAATTTACCGCGTAATTAAAACATTTCATTCTGGCAAGGCACCGCGTAAATGACCAAACGCATAAACAAAAACCGCGTAAATCCAGACTACAGGTATACTGTATTTAAAATTTTTGTGAAAATTGCACTTATTATATGTTATTCATACCTCAGCATTACCTCTTAGAACATTGATTCAATACAGTGGTCCCTCGGTTAACGAGCACAATCCGTTCCAGCAGGTTGCTCATTAACCGAAAAACTCAGTTGACCGAAACCATTGTTTCATTGGGTTTTTGGGTAATTCGTTCCAGCTCACCGAAAATTGCCTAAGTTCAACAAAAAAGGTAAAAAAGTACACTTACTTTGAGGTGTGTATGTAGAAGGTTCCTGGATAATGATGATGATGATGGGAATTAGAATGGGGGTGGAGGAGAAGGGAGGAGAGAAGGCATTGTGGTGGAGGAGAAGGGAGAAGAGAAGGCATTGGGGTGGAAGAGAAGTCACCGCATGATACCATTTCACCCATAAAATTTTAGTTCTCTTGGTGTAATTCAAGATTATTTTCTTTAAATCAACACTTCACTGCATTATATATTGTCAATATGTAAAATAAATTTAAAAATGACCAATAATTTGCATGCAAACACAGAAAAAAAGCATTTAGTTGAAGAGAGAGTCAAGCTAGATGTTACCTCCACTGAAAAGAGAAAGAGACTAACGCCTGTTTGGTGTGTTAACAGGCTGGATGGTGAGCCAGAAACTAGTTTCTTTACCTTCACTTATGTTCAATAATTGTTAAAATTACTAAAAAAGTTAATATTAAACATTTAAAATTATTGAATAGTATAAACTTCTTGATATTTACTAAAATAGTACGGAATTTAAGCCCTAAAACTGATTACTGTATTGGCGGACTAATGCTGCAGCTGGTGGACCGCCAAATGCAAGCGAAAACATGTTGAGGTCGGCTCGTAAAAAACTCGTTAATCGAGGGATTGCTCGTTAACCGAAGTTAAGAATCTTATGGAAGGTAAATCGTTAACCTAAATCTCGTTAACCGAGGGATCACTGTATAGAACTCATTGTCCTAGAGAGAAAATTTGAAGGTGAGGAATGAAAAAAGGGACGAAAAGTCATTAAACCCTTCAACTGTTGGCAAAGTTTTGCATAGAAGTAGGCTGAGATGGTTTGGACATGTTAAGAGAATAGAAGAGACCAATTGGGTCAAAAGGAGCTTGATTCTATGTGGAAGGGAGGAGAGCCAGGGGCAAGTAAAAAATAGCATGAGGAGAGGTTGTAAGAAATGACATCAGAGCTAAGAACCTGTCAAGAGATGCTGCAAGAAGTCATGCAGTATGGGGAGCTGCCATCAGGTAATTATGGCTACCCACTAACTTAACTTTTGAAAAAGCATGTCAGATAGCTACAAGCATGGAATTAGCAGAGAAAACACCAGATAATTTGTTCCTAATGCCGGTAGTGAAACAGTTGGCAGTAGTGGCTCTGTGTAAAGTAACTGTAGCTAAAAGGAAGAATTATGCCACAAAACAAGGAACACATGTTGATTTAAAATGTAAGAGGTGCCGAGGGAAACATGAAAGTTTTCAGTGTAAGTTAAAAAATTCAAGATGTTACAATTGTAAGCGCATTGGACATATTGCTCCTGTCGTTGAAGGTGATGAGAAGGAAAAGAAAAACAGTATTCATAAGAGTGTTAGTAACTTTGAACCTGATAATGATGAGAGTGCCCATGTGTTTACTATTTACACCAGTCATGAAGAGAAAGATAAATATAGGTATAATGTGGACTTAAGCATCAATGACACAACTGTAACCATGGAAGTGGATACTGCAGCTGATTTCTCCGTAATGAGTAGAGATATGTATGAGAAGCTATTTGCGATGTGCCTTTAGAAGACTCAGGAGAGATTTTGAACACAGAAGGTAAATTAGAGTGTGAGCAATATCCCTTACCCACGTCTCAAGATTTGTGTGCTGCACTAACAGGTGTAACCATTATCACCAAGTTAGACTTGTCCCAAGCATACTCAAATCGTGGACCATATATTAGAAATCAGCATGCTCAGGAGTACCTATACAGTTGTACCCCACTTAACGCGGTCAATAGAACCCAGAGGGTCCCGTGTTAAGTGAAATCCGCGTTAAGTGAACAACAGAACATATGGGATTAATTCCAATAGAAACCGGCCCGACCCCCAAACTCCACTTTTTGAAGACACATGCACACAATTAATACTTAAGAGAAATAGAGAAATACAGTCGCCAAGTTAATGTCCATTCAAATAATGGACTCAACTCCCTCCCCCTCTCACACTACACTGCCGGCTCTTCCCTCTCTGAGAAATTTTTGGGGGAAAACCACTAGATTTTAATAAATAATACCTCAAACTAAAGTTAGGATAATACAATTGACATTGCTGGATTCCTTGTAAGACCAGGAATATTTTGAATATAAATGTCATATATTTTGCACAAAAGATAACATAGTTACCCAGAGAAAAAATTTTATCTAAAATTTGTATGTCTAATGCAAAATATATGATGTTTATATTCAAAATGATCACCAAATTATAAGAATTCCAGCAATGTAAATTATATTCTGACCGGGTAATTTGTATGAATTTTATGAGCTAAAACAAATGTCTTCAGTTAATAAAAAAAAAATAATCTTCACAACACTATCTGTCAATCAAAGTACCCCACCTTGCCTCCTCCCCTCTTCCAACCACGCGTCAGTCCCAACCCTCCCCCCCACCCCCCACCAATCCTCCCTTCAAGAGATGTGGGGTGAAAAAAATAAATTTTAACATTTTGTATTAAATAATACCTCAGATTAAAGTTAGGATAATATAATTGACATTGCTGGATTCCTTGTTAGACCAGGAATATTTTGAATATAAATGTCATATATTTTGCACAAAAGATAACATAGTTACCCAGAGAAAAAATTTTATCTAAAATTTGTATGTCTAATGCAAAATATATGATGTTTATATTCAAAATGATCACCAAATTATAAGAATTCCAGCAATGTAAATTATATTCTGACCGGGTAATTTGTATGAATTTTATGAGCTAAAACAAATATCTTCAGTTAATAAAAAAAAAAAAATATTCTTCACAGGGTAACAGATGGTCGGTCGGTCCCTCCCTCCCCCCCACCCCCCACCAACCGTCCCAAGGAGATGTGTGGGAAAACCAGAATACTTAACTTTTTTGTAATAAATAATACCTCAAA